GTTCACACATCTGATATCATCTCATTTTCACATAATTAATAGATCTATCAACGATTTAGTATATCAACTAACTATATGGCATATGTTATATTTGGTTTCGGTTTATACAATCACCTTATCCCTCCAACATCCTGGCTTCACATGAGGCGAAAAGGAAAAATCGTATTTCTTGTGTTAGTGTACAGTCTAGGAATCATCTTGACGTCCTATCACGTCGTATTCGGGACACAAGACTATGAAGCAGTAGGTTTTGAAATTGTACAACAAAGAATAGAGAGACAGTACATCAAAGAAGGAGAGAGGAGAGTAACAACGACTAGCAATTCTATGGAATATCAGAATAATTCATTAATTTCTCGAAAAAGGACTTTGTGATCCTCAAACGGATTTGTATGTAGATAGAAATCTATAATTTTAAATTAGTTACAGCTACCAGATAGTGATTATGGATTCTTCAAAGGAACATCAACCAATCAGACAGCTCTCTTCATAGGAGCTCTCATCTTGATTCTCATCGTCACCAGTCATATGGTCTACTCATTTAAGACAGGGCCTGTCATTTCACCCCAAACACGACGTAATCGAAATATCTTTGTTAAAACATTCCTGTTAATGGTAATTAAGAGATTCGGAAGAACTCATAACCTTTCTCAAATTATAGTTTACCATTCCATTTATGAATGCATTGTTCATGACATTTCTTATTCTGCGATTTGTGCCAGCTGGAAATCATGGTTTGGAACTGAAACTCTGTCTGCCTCATCGTTTACGTGTTTTTCCATATTTTCAGGATTAAAAAATATTTTGTCCGGCTGCTCCTATTTACATTTGTTTTTGAGTAACATTTCATATGTCATATTCATCAAGCCACTACGAGTTTGTGCTTTAAAAATTATCTGGCGGAAGGCAGCTGCTGTTCAAATGATCGAAAAGCATAAAACCTTCTCAAGTAAATCAGTTTCAAATTGAAAAAAAACAGAATGATCATCTTTCTTTCCCCAAAAAAGGAACAAATCATATTGTTGTTAAATACTCAGAGAAAAAGAGAGAGAAAGAGAGATAGAGAATTTAGAAAGATTTACTAAGCTGCTGGTGCGTTTACAGGTAATAACTCACTTAGTCAGCCTTCAAAATCCTTCTGCTGCCGCATAAAACCAAGATGGACGGGATGCTACTGTATTGGAAGATAGGAACAGGTGATTACTGGTCTATTATCATGATGACTAATCGATTGCAATAGAAAAGGAGCATTTCCTGGAAGACCTCATAGCAGCGGCTTTCTGAAGAAGCTGTGGAAACTACAGAACCTCACAGAATATATTTCTTTCACTCTAGGAATTTATAGACAACTAGTAGTAAATAGAGTGTTGCCAACAAAGTGTACAATAAACATACTATGCAATTTAATCGAAAGAACTTATATGTGGATTAGATGCTTCTTATGGGGTCATTTTAATACGAGTATAGTTAGAAATGTCTCTTCCCAGGAAAAAACAGGTTCGACAAGGGAGAGATTTATTATTAGAGATTAGCAGAAGAAATAATGAACAAGAAATAAACAACAAAAAACAACAATAACTCTAAGTTTGTAAAAAAAACTTGAGACACAAATCCACACTGAGGACCTCATATGTTTTTCGTAATCCCATAAAGTCTTGAAATAACTAATCACTTCCTAGGTACTGTCTTCACGTGTTTTACACGTGTTTTTTCTTCCTGAGACTTATTTTGTTTGATCTACCCGATCTTAATAATGTTGTTTTTCAACTGTTTTTAGAGTTCCCAATTTAATATCGAATCTTCATTATATCGTTTCAGGTTACTCATTCTTTAAATGGCAGCATTTTTTGTTTCCGTGAGTTTAACTATTATTTGTTAAATATTTTGTATGTATTCATATTTATATATTTAATTCCAGGATCAAGCGCAATTGATTGAATACTTGAGTTTGAGGGTAAGGAATATTGTGCTAGAAAAGTGAGAAAATCATTTTTCGTTAAATGTTAATGTTTAAATTTTAAATCTTTTTAGTGATAGAGGGATGGATCGTGCCACTCGAGATGTGGTGATTTCCGCCCTAGTGGATGCCATCCGTGGCATACAACAAATTTCAGTACGTCGTCATGTTCCACCGGACATCAGCGAAGTAGGTTTAATCTCAAAATTTTTACCAATCAAGTTACTTTAAAAATAATAATGTTTCAGGATTCCTCGTGGAATGAAAATCTACAGACCCTTGAAACCCAAACTTTGGCTGAGTCTATCGTAGCAGATGAGATGCATCTAGGTATATTTTTTTGAATATTTTTGATGTTTTTATTTATTTCGTTTTTTTTTCAGGCCCGGCATATTTAGCACTTGTTTTTTGTGTTTTGTTTTGTTTATTATATTTTGGTAACATGAGTAAATGAATTTAAACATGATTCTGAACTGAAAAGTGAAAATATATTGATAATCTATTCATTCTCTCCTTGAACCAAATCGCATTCTTTAACAAAGTACATACGCTATGCTTACAACACGAAAACTTTCGAATCATTTTTGGAAAATTGCAGCTTACTTAAACGTTTGCGAACTGTGTTTCTTTTTATTTGAAGCTTACAGAATAGAGATCGAGCATAATCCCTGAGAGGCTTTATGAATATAAGAAGCATGACATCGCTGACAATAAGATGAAGATTAGAAACCGCATGGGTGAAACCCAGCAAGACTGTATCGAATAACGGTTATAAGATTTTTCTAGTACAAGCAACTTACAACTCTGCTTACTGGATATTAAGTGGGAAACGGAAATTGTGAGACAATTAGAAAAAACCATAGGCACTACCATCTATAATTATAGTTATCATCAATAATCCCCCGCAATCCCGTTTGCAAGCCCTCATCTCTCAAATCAACACCCAAAAAAGTCACTTTCAAAGAACTTTGACAACGGAAAAATTCCATCAGAAATCTCTCGCAAACTGTTCTTCCCATCTTCTTTCATTTATGCATTACTTATTTTCATTTACCATTGCTATTGAGATCTTGATGTATAATCTCTGAACCTTCTGGGTGTGAATAGAGAGGTTAGGGTTAGGCTTGTAGAAGTAAGTCATGATGATGATAACTGTGAAATGGTAAATGATAGCATAAGTATGGTAAAATAGAAGATCTTCAGTTGCAAACTCAAGTTTGGCATAGATACTCGGCCTCGTCTGTAATCATTTGGAATATGAAGATGCGAAGGAAGTAGAAGGAACATACAACAGGCCATTTTTCTGTCACGATTTGTTGAATCATAAAAGGCGAGCAGAGTATATAATTCACTATCACCACCAGTGTTTGGTAATTATTTATAATGTAAAACTTTGATGAAGGTGGAATGAGATAAACGAAGAGAGTGATGACGAAGAGATATTGTGACAGAATGTAGAAGTACCCTACTACGATCATGTACACCTGAACGTTCGCAAATCGAAATCCAACTTTCATATTTCTCTTACAAACTGATATTCAGATCTTATTTGTAGGACAAATGTGAATAAACCAAAATAATAAGTATAATCCCCAATGTATATCTGCGAGCATAGAAGTGTTTGAGTACATAGTGTTACCAGCCTACAAACCTGAATACAAGAACGTTTATGGCTGCTCAAAGATATATCACTTGAGCATTCAATAAAACTTTTTGAAAGAGCTTTGTTTCGGTAGTTTTCGAAAAGATATGGATAAATATGACGAATACTCCAAAAGGAACTCCAAAGACACCAAAAACGGTGAGTCCCAGCCATTCATAAAAATATTGGTGAAACAACCTCTGATCGTGTTCATTCAAACTCATCACGATCGAAAGGTGATCTATAACAAGAAAATTGTTCGAAAAGCTCAAATAGGAGGCTCGGACGATTGACAAAATAAAATAATGATTGGAAGAGTACTTTACTAGAACAATCTCAGCTCTCATCATAACAAACTCTATGACATAAGCTTAAAAAGATTCTAATGAAAACAAGGATCTATCAGTAGGAACAGTGGCACCAACAAACTGAATATGTGCGGGTTGGATACTATCAAAACTCAAAAAACTCCATCAGGTGGAGATAGAATAAATCAAGAAAGAGCATAACTAAGTATAATCTGTTCAGAGAGGAAATCAGTATCTGAAAGTTAGAGAAACGGAAGCAGTTTTCTGGCCGATAGAAAAACGCCTATGTTTGTGAACGGAGATAACAAAACAGTATTCACTTCCATTTTTTGCTATTCTATATCGTACCAGTATTGCACATGCTCTGCAGATGACGCCGTCCCTTGTTGTCCAATCTTATATACATACATGTATGTAGATAGGTCCCAAGCTTAAATATTCAATTCGTTGACCAGTTGCACGCCTTCAACAACTCATCTAAACTCATTATGATATGAAAGTGTTGATACGATTTTCATAGAATAGCAGTGAGTTAATCAAAAAGCAGGTGGATTCATCGGTGTACAAACAGAAAGCTCTCTTCAGAATACTTCCTCATCAACTGCTTGCCATATGCAAGAACAGATTTCTTCAGAAACTTCCTGTGAAACATCTCCAGCCATACATCTGCATAAATTAAGAATCAATGTTCATCAGATCCATCCGGATGTTGTGTATCTTAAAAGTTTCAACATGTCTGTCAAACGGAAACAAAAAGAGTTTCACACTTCCATTCCTAATATGGAAAACGACAACGTGCGTATAACGTTATCTCAATGCCTAGTCAGATGCATAGCTTTGGGCTTGATGTTCAAAAACACGTTTGTTCATTCGAAACAGAGTTATTTAATAATAATAAAAAGAAGAAAAAAAAACATCAGCAAAATGGAAGAAACAATATGATGTGATAAATAAAAGATAGATGGAAAGACAAATAAAAAAAAAAAAAAAGAAAAGTTTTAAAAAAGTATTTTTGATTTTACAAAATCCGTAATCTAAACAAACAGTAACCATACTGCTTAATATTGTAAAATAAAGAATATAATTATTAATATTATTCACAAGAACCCAATGTTTTTGATGTTCCAATTATCACTGGAACTATTATATCAAAATGATCAAGATCAAGTTTGAAGAAGTAACTACAAGTGACAAGACGATTTGAATGAATTGAAGTTGGTGGCAGATCGGCTGGTATTGAAAATTCTATTTCTTTTGTTTCAGGACCCAAACCTGGACGAGCTTTACATGTACCCTAAATATGAAAAAAAATATTTATATAATATAATTTATATAGTTACATGAGTCTCAACAGCCATTGTGACACTCTTCTTGTCGACCAAATCTGGCTCATACCGATTGGCAGCAACAAAGTCAAGCTGCTGACATAATGATATGAGAACACATTCGTGCTTCTCCTGGAATAAATCATGATAACGGATATCTCTCAACTAGTGTTACCTGTTTTCTCTGCCATCTCTTTCGTTTTGTTCTGTTTTCGACGGTCAATGTGATTTTAGTAGTTTCACCAGGTAAGAGACCGACTTCATTAACGATCATTGTTGCTGATATAGAGCCTTTATTCCTCCCACAACAACCGGTGATCTGAGGTGAGAAGGAATTTGAAATATGTGGAATTGGAGAAGCTTACCGTCTCCTCCTCCGCTGCAGTAGTTGGTTGACGCATGTATGGCGCGTCAAGATTGAGATAGGAAAACACTTTGAAAGCTTTCTCTGCAACACATATTTGCCATGATTTTTCTTTTTTTTTTGGCATAAACTATACCTGCAATGATTTCTGTGTCCCCATCTTCTGGGATTGCTAGAAGGGCTGTGCAAGTATAACGAACTGAACCATAATTATCTCTATCGACTGTTGACAGCACATCTAGTGGTAAATGAGCTTCAAAGGGAATACTATGATTCCCAGGGTTCAAGTCAAAGTTCTCCGAACAATGATCAGCAATAATTCTGAGACAGAAAAGTGTGTGCTGAGATGATTACACAAGAAACATACGGTGTTAAGTCGATGAACTCATCCATAAAAGTATGTCGACTCTCGAAGACAAGGTCAGTTGTTTTATTTCTCCAGCCCGTCTCAGCTACACCTGTTAAGCGAACAGCTAGACCACCAATGTGAATTGGTTTTTGTAAGCACATATCTATGACACCCTGAAAAAAAAAGTTTTTTTTAACTCTTTTGTCATATTTTCATCTCTTTGCTATTCTTCTCATAGCGCATTGAAGGAGAGAAGAACATTTGCCAGAATGAGGCATGTTTTTTTTGTTGTTTTTGATGTTATATCTTGTCATCCAAAATAAACATCTTCATGAGAATTTTCTTTGGCAAAGCTTTTATGATGCCGCCCAGATGACAATTACTTAAAACGACGAAAATAGCATATGCAACTTCCTTTCGTCGGTTATGGCATACCAGAGGCAAGCCCAATGAACAAGTCGATAGTCCATGTGGAGAAGTCTGTCAGCTTTTTCAGCAGAAGGATAGGAATAGAAGATTGTCTTCAATGTCCATCCCATGGGCTCTCAATTTCGGAAGGCACATTTTTTTTTCTCTCAGATTCTTTTATTCCCAATATTCAATGAATGTTATTCTCGTTCAGAGTGTAAGATCAAAATTGAGAGAAGATCAAAAAGCTTACTTGAATTTTCTCTCCTCCAGTGTATGGCTCATCTATAGTTCTATCCAATGTGACGTCGAAGTGTTCCACCTGCACATACACACAATAAGTAACATTTAATAATGTTAAAGAAAAAGGAAATATAATGATGAAACAAACCTTCATCCCGCTCTCTCATATTGTCATCTGGTAGTTTAAGCTCTCTGACGTCTTCTAGCGAAACCTGATATTGAAAAAATAACTATTTTTATCTTTAAAAATTCTATTGGAATGAAAGATTCAAAGATTTAAAAACATTGAAAAGCTGTTAGATCAGGCAAAGTACAAGACTACTAGTGAACTTCCCGATCGAGAATCAAAAAACCAATGTTGTTAAGGTGTAAAGAACACCTGACATCTAATTTGATATCACAAAAATGAGATAATCTGTCATTTGAACTCAAAATTAGAAGAAATGTCTTTAGCTTCTTTGTTTGTCATCACCAAATGCATACAACTTGAACTTAGCATAACACGAAAGATGGGGCTGAAGTATAGAAGATGAGCTAACTGAATGCAACTTCTCAATTCAGTTGAACCGTAAAAGAACATTCTAACATCCTCAAAACAAAATGAATCGAGCACGCTATGTAAATTTGGAATATTCGTTTGGAGTGAAAAGGAAAAACAAAATTAGAATACTCTTCCAGGTTGGGAAGAAAGTGGATGAGAGAGAGAAGGGAGGGAGGGAGGGAAAGAAGGAGAGATAGAGAGAGATGAGACTTCTGCCTGCATTTTTCGAATGATTATGTGTGGACAGAATGGAATATGTAATTGTAGATGAAAAGAAAATTAAAAATTATGGAAAAGTCAATGGAAATAGGATAGATGAACGGAGATAATAAAGAAAATATTATATTACACTGACACAGCTGTTTAAATTGAAATAGGTTATGATAAAATGATAAATTCTTATGTTAAACTTTCAACACATAATGCAAGGATGACACAATGCTCTCACACACAATCTCATGAGCTTACATCACAACGATATCCGACATTGGCCTATTGAGAGTCAGAGAGTATGAGAGACATGTTGTCATTCTTTCACAATGAAAAAATGACAAAATCAAATAATTCAAGTAATTAGGAGCACTATTTAACGAATTTATGTGATCTCCTAGTCGCTCACATAGGATTTCGGTCTCACAAAATCTGTTTCTTAACGAAAAAAGAAAAAAAAAGTTTGAAGGACAAAAGAAAGATGAAATTTGATCTGATATTTCAACGAACGAACAGAAATTTTGAAACTCACTGAAATAACTCACAAAAGTTAAAATTCTTCAAATTTTTTCATTCAAACCTCAAAAAACGAAGGAAGCAGCTTGAACAAAGTATGAAACATCATATTTTTCTGTTCAAAGCTGCGTGGGTTTATCAGGATCAAGAATGCTCAAAGTTGACTTTTAAAGAAAACTTTTAAGCAGATGGGAACTATTCCAAGATACTGGGAGGGGGTGGAGTACGTACACTCATCACCAGATGTGGAAAGCTGCGTGGGCCAATCGTCGTGACACAATCAGAAGAAGTAATAAAAATAAAATTTAAATCACAAGTGAATTAAGGATGAATAGTAAGGACAAAGTGTGTGCACTGAACTTCATCGCTAACAAGAGTGTATGTAGCCGACATTCCTGTTTTGACAAGATATGACACCTCTTGGCTTTGAACTGATAAGTTTGCCTGACAGTTGATCTCAAAGTAACACTTCTCTTCAAAAGAGAAGAAAAAAATTTTAAATAAAAACGGACAGATTGGATTGGCTAGCTGAAAGCAGGATTGGCGATGAATGATAATCCAAGCTATCGAAGACAAACAAACAAATAAAATGATGAGACGGATGTCAGAAGAAACGTGATGTTGCCAACTGCTCTCAAACTCCGGAACTTCCTAACTGGAACCAATTTCGTGATCATGAAAACGGATAAATTTAAATATTATAAATGAAAATCGTTCTAAATTAACTTTTCTATTGTCTTATACAATTAGAATCAATTAACTAAACTACATGACTTCATTTATCTGAGTCTAATTCACTTTCGCAACACAAGACGTTCATCTTCCTAGACTAACTTTCTACAATTTTCTAATTAGGAGAACAAGTTTTCTATGGATACACGTATGACCATTCTGGACGAGCTTAAAGCGTAATGACTTTACAACAAAATTATTTCCTATTTTTTTCATAAAACAGTAGTGACATGGGTGTAGTGCTCCAACTACCGCAATGCCTAAGAGAAGTTGAAAAGTTTGAAAACGTTCACTAATTGCTTAATTTAATCTAAAAAAAATACTCCGTGTATATGGTTTTAGAAACAAAATGGGAAAAGCCTCAAAAACAAATGAAAGCCAATGAATTACATCTCTCTCTCTCTCTGTCTCTCTAAAGCGCGAACTAACTTCTCTCATCTGACTTCTAAGCTTTTCATGAAACTTAATAGGAAGCTAAATAACTTTCTAATATTCGCTTCCACTTTCTCTTTCTAGATCTCACTCACATCCGATTCTAATGATTCAAAGTACAGAATAGAAAGATCACAACGTTCAAGCCATTTCATCATCACGATCATGTTGAATTCTACTTAGCCAGCACTTTTTCATTTGGATGTACCGAAGATGGAAAGCGGTCGGTTGCGTTCTAAAGTGTGTTATTCACTTCAATCACAAGCTTTCTTTCTACTCTTTCCTGGAAAATCAACAAGAGACAATCTGAACAATCATATGATGTTAAAATACAGATATAGATCGATAGAGTTTGTACATGGAGCTGAACAAGATATAAAGATTGATCATGAGATAGAGAAGGAAGAAAAGCACTAATCGCTCTTCTTTGCCGATCCAAAGTTTAATGATCTGAGGTTATATTTACAAGAAAACAAAGATGTTTTCTCTCATGAATTTTTCACAATTACCTCACAACTTTTGATGGAAAAGTTGTTGGAGAAGAGTGAGAACAAGGCATACGTTTCAGTCAGCAATTGATCAAACTACGGCCGTGGGCATTTCAACAATAAAAAAGATAAATTTCGCAAACAGCCAAATCCTTATATTCGTAATCGGAATTGTTTTGTGTTTTGATTATTAGGAAGTACATAAAACATTTGGTGAATAGTGGCTGAGAACACAACTGCTGGAAGAAAGGGGCACATGATGAATATGAAAAGAGTGAGACAAATAGTGGTTTGAGGTTTGATACATCCGTATTGACTCCTTTTAGCCCCGTCAAGTTTTCGTTTCTCCTTATCCCTCTCTTTGGTTTGCTGAGCTTTTCACAATTCCCCGGAGTCCGTTGTCGCAAGTCCCGTCTGTGGCCCTCCAAGCGTTGTGACGTAGTGGAATCGCTTCTTCAGCTTCATATTTGAAAGAATAAATCACAGGCACCATTGTTTATTACGGATCCTTCTATAAAACAAAATTTTATTAGAGCGTTTGTATCAGAACAAGGTAGTCATCCAGTCAAAACATATCAAGAGGAAGTATCTTCAATCTCAAAATATCTCTTCAATTCCAGGAACAGAAGAGTACATCTTGTAAAAAAAAAAGACTTAAGAGCTATCCATCAAAGTAACTTTTTCTTACTCGTCATCATTCTTGTGCTCAGTATTAAGTTTCGCCGAATGTCGAAGTAATGATCAGTATCACTAAAATCACAATTGTTTTCAAGTTTCCCCAATAGCAGACCGCCATTTTTTATCTATGAGGGCCCTCATTCACCCTCTTTATGGTGCACAGTTCAAGCCACTTAAGCGTGCTCTGTCGCTAATTGTATTTGGTCTTGCCACGATTCTTATTTCGTTAGCGCAATCACACGCTCGCTGAACGAAAGTAACTATTACTCAATAATTTCAAAAAGAAGTGGCGTGATCGAGGTTGTGAAGATATTCAGGCTTAATTGAACACCATGGACGACGTGGATGCTCTTCTGGAGGATGCTCTCGATCCAAAAAAATCTGTAGAGGTGGGTTAATCATTGGAATATATTTAAGGCGACAAAAGCTAGTAGAGATTCTCATCTTTGCATTATTTCTTTGAATAGAGCACAACTTCTCCATTAAATGAAAAAGTAAATTAAGTTTCTAATACAATGTTTTAGGGTAATGATTCCAAGGAAAACTCCGATGGCGGACGTAGGCCTCGTAGCCGGTAAGTTGTGATTTTCTCTACGCTTTGATAATTTCCTCTTAAAATTCTTTTTTTTTATCATTAATGATAAAAGTAAACCTTCAAAAATTCATGACCTATCTAAGACCTGCTCGTCGTTGTAGACCTAAAAACGAGAGCCTTTGTACAAGCGCTGTTCCACTGCTCTTCCTTTTCTACTGATGTCGACGAAGAAGCGTCTCGAGGTACGCTCGTGTCCTTGCAAGGTCTTTACGCGGATTTTTCTCATACGAAAGAAAGCAATGAAAAAATTATTGAAATTCTTCAAGCCATTTAAAAATTTGGGAAAGATTGGCGGGGGCCTTTGTTGCAGGCAAATGGCACGGAGCGTTGTTCAATGGAGTTGTCCTTAATGGTCAGCATTAGAAGATTCGACATGTTATTGCTTTTTCTTATTCTTGAAAATCTTATTTTTTTAAGTCACAACCTTTAATTTGCATTGTTTTCAGATCACCGAGTGATGAGCGCAGAAAGCAAAAAGGTAGTTCTAGCAGGGACCATCGAAGAAGTTCTTCTCGTGATCGTAAGAGACGTTCTCGTTCTCGTGATAGACGCAGTAAAAGCAAAGAAAGAAAAAGAAGCCGTAGTCGCGACAAAAAGAGAAGCCGTAGTCGAGATCGTGATAGACGCGGTGGATACAGAAGATCCAGGTTTGTAAAATCCTTAAAACTGTAGTGACGACAGCTTTTAGATCTCGTTCATATGAGCGAAGGCGCAGACGCTCACGTTCGAGAGATAGACCTCGCGTGCTTGATCATAGAGACAGAAGATCTCCCAGAAGTAAGACTTCAAAATTTAAATTGAACTCATTTAAAGTTTCAGGAAGACTACCAGGGCCTGAGCGTAGGGATGTCATGCCGTTCACAGCTCGTACATCCCCTCCAAAAAATGCTAGAACAGATTTATCTCCAGAAGAAAGAGATCACCGAACATTATTTATTCTACAGGTTTTGCTTGTCCTCAGTAATGCAATCTGAGAGTTGATTTATAGATTGCCAGACAGACAAGACCTAGGGATCTTGAAGAGTTTTTCAGTTCAGTAGGAGCTGTCAGAGATGTTCGTATAATCACTGATTCCAGAACTGGAAGGTCGAAGGTATGAACTTATTTTTTTGAATGTGGTAATGATAATAAATATTCTTCAGGGAATAGCCTATGTTGAATTTTGGGAAGAAGAAAGTGTTAATCTAGGGTTGGCCCTACATGGTCAGAAGCTACTTGGTGAGTATCCTGTACTTTATGTTACCTATAAATTTGTTATCAAGGCGCACCACTGGTGATTCAAAGAACTTGTGCTGAGAGAAACAGGGCTGCTAATGCCACAGCTACAGTTGGCTCTGCTCTAGGGTTCGGGCCTGCCAATAGCAAAGGACCATGTAAACTGCAAATTGTTAATCTTCATCCCAACATCAGTGAATCTATGCTCGAATCTGTTTTCGAGCCTTTTGGTCACTTGCAACATTGTAGAATTCGTAAAGAAGCGGGAGGTGTAGGAGTTGGTTTTGTTACTGTAAGTTTCTGTTTGCTCAAATTCTTAGCAAGAGTTTTTTAGTTTGCTAAAACAGAAGATGGAACGAAAGCAGCTGAGCAATTGAATGGCTTTGAATTAGCAGGAAACAATATCAGAGTGAGCATACTCGATGAGGTTAGTTATATATTTCAAGGCTTTAAAGTAATATGTGGGTTAGGAAGATGAATCTGCGAAGCAGAGGAGTTTGGATGATATTATGGAAGACAAGCAAGGAATTGCTCTAGGAGGTCAAGGTGGTAGAATTCAACTGATGGCCAAGTTAGCACAAGGAACAGGAATTGAATTATCCCAACAAGCGCAACAAACATTACAAACTCAACAAGCACAACAAAATGATCCTTCCATTCCGTCCATTGCCACGCAATGCTTCATGCTGTCGAATATGTTTGATCCTGTCAAGGAAACCGAGCCTTCATGGGAAGAAGATGTCAAACAGGTACGTCATCATTTACAGAGTTTATAAAATTAGATCTTTATAGGATGTTATTGAGGAATGTGCTAAAAATGGTGGCGCTCTCCATGTTTATGTCGATAAAGCCAGTGCGCAAGGAAATGTTTATGTTAAATGTCCTTCAGTCACAGTGGCTCATCGTAGTGTTACTGCTCTTCATGGAAGATGGTTCAGTGGAAAAGTGAGTATTAAATATCGGGAAACAGCCGGTCTGTGTCTTCATATCTTTACAATGATTTCATTCAGATTATTACGGCGAATTATGTGCCAGTTAACTCTTACCATGATTTATTCCCAGAAGCTTTAAGTTTGACGACTCCCATTGCTCCTAGACCATACGGATCTATGCCTTCACATCAAATGGTCAGTTGTCAACTTAGTTTGCTATAGTTCATTTTCTGTTTAAGAGTGTATATTCCCAACAAGGCTTCGGTGTCAGATAGCTCTGGGATTGTGTTCAAAGCCCACCCAAACAAAATTACAGTAAAATGTTAAATTGAATAAATTTAAACTTTCGTCTAGAAACCGTTGAAATTCAAACATTTTAAGATGAGAACCTAAAATCAAAGTTCGAAAAACAATTCATTTGTTATCCTGCAAACTAAGTATCAGATAAAACAATCCATGTTATCCTGTAGACACGTTATTGAGGATCGTCCCATTTTATATTCTTATTTTTTATGTTGATGATCCCACAGTAATTTTCGTTTTGGTCTCGTATATAAACACTTAATAAAATCTCTTGTTATAGATAGAGAGTAAACTTATTGATTCGTTTGATATAAATTGCAGGCAGCACAGCGTATAAAGCTGTCTCAGATAGTTCTTATACAGGAATCGGAGAATGAAATCAGAATAATGAATCAAAAGACGCTTAGGTTACTCGGAATCATTGGAGGGCTCATCTCCAAGGTTTCTGGGTACCCTAAACTTCCAATATTCAATCAACTAATAGAACAACGAAAGAATGAACAATTGAAATAATTTGCAGGAATTCCGATTTTATATTACCTCTCAAGTGGGAGGAGATTTTACACAAAGAGAGGAAATGTCATGATGTAGATGGGTTTGGTGGAAATACCATTCAGATTAATCTGTTGATTAAATGACAAACCTTACAACTTGTAGATTGAAAACATTTATTTACTTAATAAAAACATATTTTAAAGTGAAAAAGGCAGTGTCGTCTTACAAAAAGGTTCTTCAATACTGAACTGGAACTGGGGCTTGAGCTGGAGCGGCGGCTGGGCTTCCGTAAGCTGGAGCAGCGGCAGCTGGAGCAGCATAGGCTGGAGCAGCAGCAGCAGGAGCGGAGTAAACTGGAGCGGCTTGAGCTCCATAAGCTGGGGCTGATTGAGCTGGAGCGCCATAAACTGGAGCAGAGTAGGTCTGAGCAGGTTGCTGAAATTCATTCTGTTCAATTTTATTATCATTCTTTCTGTTTACTGGGTAGAAAGCTGGTGGTGGTGGGAGCTTGCGTTTTGGAGCACAGCAGACGCACTTGACGTTGCTTCCGAGCTCATCAGGCTTGAACTCGCTCTGTAAGGATTACAAGGATTATTAAAGTTTGAACGCCAAGTCTCACGATTTCGACGAAAGTAGGCTCAACCTCGTTCTTCTTGTCCCAGTGTCTCTTGGCTCCACGCTTTCTTCTCTACAAAATCATTTTAGTTTATCTTGATGAGATTTATGAGAAACTTACTGTTACGGTATCTTCCTCATCAACTTCCTCTACTTCTTCTTGTTCCTTATCCTTGTTGTTCTTCTCATAAACGATGGCGAGGAATCCAGTCATGTCAATCTGAAATGATACAGTTACTAGTGATATCAATGGATAACAAAAAAAAATTTCAGAAGGTCGAGGGAAAGCTAGTCAAACAACGCTCAGGCTACCACCACACGTTGGAAAGGAAAACTATCTCAACGTGTAAGGAGTACCCTAAACGTGATTTGACATACAAAGAGGAGGATTCAATGAAGGTAATAGAGCAATTGATGCCAAAGTAAGTTAACTCACGTTCTTAAGCTCAAGATCACGACGAGCGGCATGTTGACAACAGACGTTGCAGGAATCCTCATCGTAGCTAGCGATTTCGGAGCATCTGAAGAATCAAATTCAGCATAAGATGAAATCGAAAAGTATACCTGACTCTAACAGCGCGGTTGTGTCCATGGCGTCTAGAGTCTGTTACAAGAAGGACGGAAGCATCAAGATCGCATACGTTACCTAGATAGAGCAACTAAGAGTGAAACAATTCAAGCTTAAAACTCACGGTCTTCGAGTTGAGGAAGTGGAAGGTAAGAGCCGTATCCTCCATATCCGTAATATCCGTTGTTTGGAGCAGCGGCGGAGGGAGAGTCGTAGTATCCTCCAGCAGCCTCTTCCTTCTTGAGCTGAAAAAGTTATGATATTGAAGGATTAAAGATTCGAAAAACCTCATCAGCAGCAAGGACTCCGGCAATGCAGAAAAGAGCTGTATAGAAAACCTTCATGGTGATGCTATACCTTGGATTGAACTCAGGACCTTTTTATACTCTTCTGAACGGGTAAGAGGGTGGATCCGATGTAGAGAAGCAGGTTATTATTATTTTTTCTGAGAAAACGTTCGAGAGATGCAGAGATAAAGCGAGAAGCTTTCAGAAATACAGCAATATTTAATAGATTTTCCATATTTCACTGAAATGCTGTGAAAGGACTGATACAGTTCTAACTGTACTAAGGAAACGTCATCCCCATATAAGTTTCGGCAACAACAATGGTTTCGAGAAAAAACTCGATGGTCTTTGACGGAATAGATTGTTCACAAAAGGATTTTTTGAACCTTTTTCCATTCATTGACAGATGTTTCGCATCTATTAGGTCTGAATCAAACTCTTTGATTCTTGCTTAGTTTCCAGAGTTTAGCCTTCTAATTCCTTTTCAAAATAATCTTCAGATACTGAGGTGTTCATAGTTTTCTACTTTGTATATCGAGGTTCATTTTGAAGTCCAAAATTCTATCTTCTCAGACCGTTGAAGGTTCTCTTCCAGAAGTAGTTCCTGTTATCAAGTAACAAGAGATTCAGAACCTCGAAGAGAGTCCAGAATTTCGAGCGTAGGTTGTTTGCTTGTACGATATTTCGAGGATTTCTCAAAATATTCAGCAAATTTTATTGAAACATATTTTTTAATGGAATGTTAATGGAATTGCAATTAGCCCACGCTCTCATTTCTGATTTCAGCTGATACGCCCGGATGTTTTGAGAATCCACCGCCTCCATGATTACAAAAAAAATTTCGTAAATTTTTAAAAAAACTGTTGTAATGATTACAAAAATTAGTGAAATTGCCTAGTAAGTTCAATGGCCGTATAAGGAAATAAACAAACAAGACATCGATGATGAAAACGTACTGAATTTTAAAAACTCTGAGCATCATCAAAGGAAATAACTCATGAAAGGTTAATGAGCGAAATGAAATGTAATTGCTTTGGTAATGAGAAGAAACATTTTGGCAAATGAAGGGAAGGGAAACCTTAATGTGTTAACAGAAGTTCGTCCTATTCTCCTCAATCTTTTATGATTATCCGTTTATGGTAAGCGATATGCCATATAAGGAACAATGTACAATGCTCTCAATGTATTCCAAGAATTATTAAGAATTTAAAATATTTCTTGCAATATCGTTTTCTCGGCAATATCGGATCGTCACCGCCTCCTCAACTCAAGGCAGGTCATGAGTATAAAAGCCTGGTGGATTTCCTCGAAAAATTAGAGTCATCTAACAAGATGTATCGCTCAGTTGCCTTTTCCCTCCTCGTCTGCCTTGTCGCTGTCAACGCTGCCGATAAGGTATATTTAAAAAATCTGTAAAAATCTATGGTTCTTATTCAGAAGGCCGAGAAAGTCGCTGTCAAGGAAGGTGCTGGATTCTATGGAGCCAATGTTGCCGCTTCTGCCCCTGCCCCAAGTTACAAGTATTTTTTGATCAATCACAGTCATTTTTATGCTTTCTCAATTCCAGCTATGGACAAGGATACAACATTTACCAACCAGTAAGCGTACCAGCTCCATTTGCCCTTCCAAATTATGATGGTTCGTTGTTCTAATGCAATTATTTGTTTGTAATCGAATTTTTTTAGTCAACTACTGCACAGTTCACGCTAGCTTCCCACTTGCCGACATCGAGCGCAAGCACCGTCATCACCGCTGTACGTTTCCATTGTTTTTTGGTCCAAATCAGTTTTACTTTTTTCAGCCAAGCGTAGCTACGGATACCCAGCTGCTTCTCCAGTCGCTGCCCCAACCGGAGGATATGCTTCTTATGCTCCAATCCCACCTTACGGACGTCCACGCAGATTCGATCGTCAAGGATGTCGCCACACCGCTATCTTCTCTCAAACCGCCTGTGACATTTGCTGTAAGATCTCTAGCCGTGGATTCAACACCAACGTCGTGAGTATCATATTATTCAACAACAACTGACTGCTTCGTATAATTCAGGCTGAAATCACTGGAGCTCTCTTTGTCTTCGACCCCGAGAACGACTGGGACCGCAAGAAGGTTAGTTATAGAATGAGCATTCAATGAAATTCAATTATCATCATAGAACAAGGACAACAATGAAGATGAAGAGGAGACCAAGGCCGTTCAATGCGTCTGCTGTGCTCCAAAGAAGATTTAAACTTCTTTTGAAAAAGCTCAATTTAATTTTTCTTTATAACATTTCTAATTAAATGTTTTTTTTTATAAAATAAACTTTCCATATCTTTAAATCTTATTTGTTATTCATCGTCAATGGTCCATCAGTAGTCATTCACTCACCGCTGTATCAAGATTGTACTTGTAGTTTACGAAGACTGCTGCAGTCTCAGGTTTCCTTTAATACTTCTTCCGAATGATGAATATAATTGAATGCTGGTTTTGTTCTAGACATTTCGATATTCAAGCAATGCTTCGGTTGTCAAGAGCGGCTACTAATGCCACTGGTCGTCTCGTTGCCATGGTAACCTCTCAACATATGCTTAACCTAGTGCACAGTTTGTTTGTTGATTATTATTTTGTAAAACTCTTTATATATTCACAATAATTAGTTTTTTTCTGTTGTTTAAGTATATTGTTATAGAATATAATGGTATCAGAGGACAGTTGAGAGAGCCAAAATGCGACCTGTGCTGAATTGGATTGATAAAATCACATCGGAGGAGCACACTGATCGAGGGTATGTTCCGCTCAGCTTCAATACAACCTTGCGTCATTTTGGTTTCAATTCACAACTGTTTATTCATTGTTTTTGATTCAAAAACAAAAAAATAGAGAACACATGTATTCATTGAGAAAGAGATAATCTTTGAATTTATCATTGGGTTTGCCTTCATTATGTGGAAAAATAACTAAACTGATTATAAAAACATAAGTAGATGAGAATATTGTCAAGTCATTAACAAGTTATGCAAAAATTTCGTCTGTCTTAGCCTGTCTGTCATTTGGATGAACGCGCTTCATCAGCTGCGTTGCGGTCATATTGGAATTGTTCAATACTATTGGTAAAACGAATCGTTTTACGATTTTGTTGAAAATGTAAGAAAGTTTAACATTATTGAGTTTTACTCATATATTCTCGAGTTGGACTTCTTACTTTCCAAATCGCAAAAAGTTTGGCTTTCTCAATTCACGATCGAATCCTTCAGCCATGGCTCTTCCGAATCGTAGGAAGTTTGGATCAGCAGAACGCTTTCCGAACCTTAAAAAGTTTGGATCTGCAGCAGCTTTTCCGAATCGAAGGAAGTTAGGATCACTTCGGCCTGAAATCATAAATTTATAGTATAAATAACCAGTGAGCTAGGCTGAACGAATGTATAGTTATCATACTTGATATCATTTCAACAGGGTCGATAGATAAAGGAAACTGAGATGAAAGAGAGTAGCTGCTAGAAGAGATAAAGTCTCACTAATTTTAGAAGGAAGAAGAACGGCTGCACAGTGTCGAGCAGCATACTCTGTTAAATTCAAAGAGCCGCAAACCTTAACTGGAAAGGGCACACTATGCTATTTTCCTAGAGAGCAGAACATAACAATTTTTGGTTTCAATATCAAAATAATCAAGAAAACTTTCTTTTTGTTTCATGCGGATTGAAATTTGATTGAGGTGGTATCTCGGAAAGCTTCTTACCGAAGCGCAAGAAGTTTGGGTCTCCAACTGCTGCTTTACCGAATCGCAAAAAATTTGGTTGAGAACGACCAAATCTTAAGAAATTGGGATCAGACCCTTTCTTTCCGAACTGAATTCCATTAGCTGAAAATAGAGACACTACTTGACTTTCTTATTGTATCAATCCTTACATGAACGACCGTATCTCATGAAGTTGGGTTTTCTTTTTTCAAGAGTTTTCAACGCTTCATCTGCATCTCCGTCACAGTTCTCTCCTTCAATTAATTTTGTAACAACGTTCAAAGAATGCAAAACAAACCCAAGATGCTCATAACCTCTGCTTGTTCCATGGTTGACAACATCTGGAAAACGGTACAGAAGTCCGAGTTCTGCCCGGAAACGCAACATTGGGCAGCTACCTTAAACGATTCATATTTTTAAAAAAAATATTACATGAATGAAAACAAACCTGTGCTGCTGATGCTACGATAGCAAAAAGCCCTAGCTGAACCAGCAGAGCTGTCATGTCGTACAAACGAATAACGGAATTTGTTTCTTTCCTTCAGTATTTATAGGAGCTGTAGAAACAATAGATATCTACTAATTAAGTTACCATTCATCCCACTACTGTAGTCAGTGGAAGCAAATTTTTCGGAAAATCTATGTAAAATGGCCCAATGGTAAGATGTGCCAAACAGAAGGACCCATGTGGCTCGGAATTTGAACAATTTCACATTCACACGTCATAATAGTTTATGAAGCTAATTGCGTTATTAATTATTTCTGAATATACCATAATTCTCCATTCAGTTTTTCTTCTTCATAATCATAACAGACGGAGCTATTTTCTGACTCCCAAATTGGGTAATCCTCCGCATAATACTTTCACTGTTTTCTTAAAATACGAAATTAGACATTTTTTTGGGTTTATGATTAGATTTATGGAATAATCCGCTCAAAATATAGTGGGCGTTGGGTGTGGGTGAAGATGTGTTTGTTTCAATGCAACATTTCGAAAAAAAACCTTATTTTGGTCTCTTTTACTTGGTCGAGCTGAGCTTTTCAGAGCATGCATCTATGCGCTAGCCTTTCAGCCGGATGGCTTCGAACTTCTTGTTGCTGCTGATACCAAAATTTTAGTATACGATTCTACCGATGGCACGTTAATGCAATGTCTCAAAGGTTAGTACGTATCTACTGTTATTACTTATATCTCTGTTAAGGACATAAGGAAGCTGTGTATTCTGTTGCTTGGTCTGCGGACGGAGAAGCGTTTGCATCAGGAAGTGCAGATAGAACAGTCATCATATGGACGAACAAGCATGAAGGAACATTGAAATACAAGTAATAGCATGGGAATGGTGAACTCTTTCACTGATTTTTAAATTACAGCCATGCAGAAGCAGTTCAGTGCTTGGCGTTCTCTCCAGTTTCACAGATTTTACTAAGCTGCGGAATGTACGATTTCGGTGAGGCGGTTAACGACAAGTATCTTATCTAACCATCATTCTAGCCTTATGGTCATCAACTGAGAAAAATGTGCAGAAGCAAAGATTGAATGCTAGATGCTGTAGTTGCGCTTGGAACAAAGTAAGCATTCGGTTCATAATCAATCGAATATACTGTTTTCAGGATGGAACTGTGTTCGCACTCGGCTTGTTTGATGGTACAGTTCAACTTAGGAAAATGGCTTCGTTTGTAAGGATTCATATCAGCCTTAATTATTTCTGGAATCATGACTTGTTAGAGTTGTGGCCGTGTCAAAAATATTGTTCATTTCAAAATATTCAACTCGCGCAGTTGCAAATTAGCTTATCCTTAGAGTTCTCTTTTCATTTCTAATGTTGCATGTGCGCGGTGCGGTCTGATCTGCTACATAGCAGTGGCATTTTCTGAATAGGCGTTTCAATAATTGATTACAGAATGATGATCCTGTAGCTGTTATCGAGAGACCTGGGGGTGATCCAGTATGGGCTTTACGATTTTCATTACCAGTAACGGTAGATGAAAGTGGGCGCAAAGTGGAAGAGTAGGCCCTTATCATACCTCAGATAGAATTCACATTCTTCCTAGGAAGCTAACTGAAATTCTGGCAGTATCGGATTGGTCAAAAACTCTTTCGTTTTATGATTTGAATGGAAACAAGTTTATACCAAATGATAAGGTTGATTGTAAATAAATCAAGAGATTTCATAATAAGATTCAGAATCTCAATTACGAACCCTCATGTATGGAGTATCTGAATAACGATAGCTTTCTCATCATGGCAGGATCTGGTAAGGAGGCTCATCTGTATACAAGATATGGTTTGTTTGATTAAAAAGTTTCATTTATAAGAATATAACTATCAAGGCTTAAACCTTGGGAAAATTTGCTTAATGGATACGATGATCTGGACAATCGTAACAAAGCCAGAATCCAATTACGTTGTTGTGAGTTTCTAGTTACGTTATCCAGTTAAAGTTACTTCAAGGTTGGATGTGTTGATGGTACGCTGGCATGCTATCATTTGTATTTCAGTGCTGTTCATGGGTTATACAAAGATCGTTATGTCTTCCGGTACAATACTATTCAATTTCTTCGACTCTTCTTTTGCATACAGAGATAACATGACCGAGGTGATTGTCCAACACTTGACTTATCAGAGCGTCGCACGTATCAAATGCAATGATGGCGTTCGGAAGGTTGCTATTTATGGAGATAAACTAGCTGTAAGAAATATTTACTGAAACCCATTTGAAGTAAAACTTAGGTTCAACTCTCTGATCATTTGAACATATATACTCAAGTTTCGGGAATGACTGAAGATGAACCGTTGGAATTCAAACTCACAGATAGAATAACTAAACGACTAGAGTGTTCCCTTCTAGTGAGTGAATGAGAAAATTATTTTATGTGTCCATGTTTGGCTCAGGTCTGCAGTAGCAAACATATCATACTCTGTTCGGAACAAAGACTTCAATGTTACGATCACAGGGGATTAAAACAAAGAGAATGGATTATGGAATCTTTAATTAAGTTAGTTGCATTTTCAGTGTAAGTATTCGTTCTGTTTCAGATATATACGTGTAATTGGTGGTCCTCCTGGCAGAGAAACGCTTCTAGTTGGATTGAGAGAAGGGCAAGTATGCAAAATTTTTGTGGATAACCCTTTCCCCGTTACGTTGCTGAGACTTCAACACGCTATCAAGTGTTTAGATACCAGCTTAAGCAGGTTAATATCCATAAGCTGTATGTTTCTGACTATTTTTCTAATTTAGGCATCTTCTTGCTGTAGTGGATGAAACAGGCGTCTGCACAGTTTATAACACCTCCACGTGGGAGAGCATATTACAAGTATATCATTTCCTTCAATTTTGATTACGGTTTTTGTACTTGTAGGAAACGAATTGTACTAGTGTCGCATTCAATACTGATAATGAGGATATAATATGCTTCTCGTCGGATACGAGCTTAATTGTTAGAGCAAGCCGCTACCCTGGATTTCAGCAACGAATGCTGGTAACTTCCAATGAAACTATAAGTTATACCAATTGTCATTTATAGGGTATAGTAGTTGGATTTTCTGGTAACAAAGTGTTCTGTCTTCAGAACTACACTATGACAGCGTTCGAAGTTCCTTTTTCCAATCAGTTGTATCAATATATTGAAAACAAACAATACGAGTACTATCCTATACATGCTTCTCTTGAGCAAACTTCCGTTTCAGCTTTGCTTATAAACTTGCGAACTTAGGTGTCACTGAAGAAGATTGGAAAATCTTAGCTAACGATGCGTTAGTGAATATGGAACTCGAAATCGCTACAAGGTTTGCATGAGTCTCGATCGTCTATTACATGAGTTTTCACAGAGCTTTCGCTCGAATAAGGGATTACCGCTCACTTCAACTGATAACGGAGCTAATGGTAAGAACTGAAAAAAGAAGAGGTTATGGTACAACCTGTGTTTAGGAAATGAAGAATGCTAATGAACCTGAAGTACTATTGAAGGCTCATATCATGTCTTATCAAAAGAGGTACTTATCACTTTTGTATGAATAATTCTTTGTTGAAGGTTCCGAGAAGTCGCAACTCTTTATCGAGAGAATGGTTTTGAGAACAAAGCTATGGAACTGTTCACCGATTTGAAGATGTTCGATGATGCACAGGTACTTTATCTAAAATATATTGCTTATCTCTTTCTAACTTGTAAAATGATTTCAGGATGTGATGACTAAAGCTTCTGGGGAAACTCAGAAAATGCTTATGAGAAAGAAAGCCGATTGGGCCAGAGATTCTAATCAACCTAAGGTGTGTCGACCACATCTCTTCCGTGTTCATATCTGTTTAGGTTGCTGCTGAGATGCTCATTTCGAGTGGTGATCTGGATAAAGCAACTCAGCTGATAATAGAGAATGACTGGATGGATTTGTATGTTCCTTTCGTGTATGAAATAACGAGATAATTCAGAGCTATCAACTTGATGAGAAAGTTAGATCGAGGTGACATGGAAACACTCAGAAGCTTAGCTGGATACTTCGTGAAGAAAGGAGAGTATTCTATGGCATCGAAAATCTATACTTCCCTAAGCGATACAAAAGCCATAATTCTCATGCATATACATGCTGGTCATTGGACAGATGTATGTATTCAACTGATTGTTTTTTTTTTACTTGTATGCTGTTATGTTCATCACATTTCTAGGCATTCGCTATTGCTGACCGCTATCCTAAGTATGTTGAAGACGTATACTTACCTTACGCTCGATACCTGGCTGAAAATGATCGGTTTGAGGAAGCTCAGAAAGGTTAGAGTATTATAGCATCTGACTTCATCAGTTTTTGTAGCGTTTCACCGTGCTGGGCACGAGCAAGAGGCACTTCGCGTATTAGAACAGTTGACCGGCAATGCTGTTAATGAAAGCCGTTTTGCTGACGCAGGGTATTACTTGAGAAAAATTGCAAAAATAACAATTTAATCTAGGTATTACCACTGGTTGCTATCTATGCAATATTTAGAACGTGCCCAAGATAGCGAAGGTTTGATACCAAAGTATCGGGAAGCTGCTTTGTTAGCTGAGATATACTATGCTTATGAGAGTGTTTATGCGTTTCAAGTTTGTAATTAGCTGATCCAGAGCTTCAGTTTTTTTTTTCAGAACCAACCGTTCACAAGCCAATCAGCTGAAACATTACTCAATATGGCTCGTTTCGTCTCTTTTCAGAAAGCTGTGCCAAATATATCTCAAGCGTTAGTGAGCAAAGTTTTTTATATACCTAGTGTTCTTCAAGATTGGCTTATTTTACTATTGCCACATTGGGGCGAGAGTTACAAGCTTTTAAGTATGCAAGAGAAGCTTTGGACCAGCTGACAAAACTGAGAATACCCAACAGATTTCAAGTTTGTAATTCTACTTATTTTCTCCACAACCTATGTTGCTGTAGCAAACTGTGGATCTTGCCATGCTAACTATCCGAGCGAAACCTTATTCAGATGCAGAAGAGCTATTACCAATATGTTATAGGTAAACCCAAAAAAGGGTTACCTAGCAATGGCTCATTTTTTCAGGTGTGGTCTCAATAACTCATTCAGTTGCGGGTTGCAATGCATGCATTGCAAAACTCCATTTGTTTTTTCATTTTCTACGTTCGGTTAGTTCTTAGCTCTTCTAGACTTGTTAAATAACTTATTTGAAGAAATATTGCCACTTCTTGAGTTCTTCGTTGATGATAACATAACAAGTATTGAGGCAAAGGAACTGATTGAAGCCGAACCGCCTCTAAACCAAGAGGACTTCCATCCTTTCCGAACCAATAGTGTACGTATATTTCCTACAACGAACATATTAGTTTGGTTCAGAAAAAGATAGAGAGAATAGTTCTCAATCGGGATCAACTGTTGCTTTTGGAAAAAAGTGTGGTCATTGTTTTGGAATATCCGCAACCGTTACAATACCGATACTTTTATAATGTCATGCCTACGATATCAATTACCACCTGCACTAGCTGCTGGAAGGTATTCATCGATATCAGTTGTTAGTAATGCTTGTTTAGATTTTTCATATGGACGATTACGAAATGGCTGTGTTACAAAAAGGAACGTGTCCATTTTGTAGGACTCAACAGGCAAGAACGGATTCCCTCATCTATCTCGATGATGATTAGAAATGTGTCTATACGGTTTAATAAACTAAACAATGAATCATGTTTATTCACATAGTTAGTTTTTTTAGATCCGGAAAGTCAAAAAACTCATGAAATATCAAATAAGAGCCGCTCACGCTTGTTTAGTGGCAAAATATGTAGACATGTGCGAATAGTTATTCAGCTTTCAGTCAGTTCGGGACAGTTGCTTTCTATTTTCAGTTTATAAATCAACGATTGTTTCGATAACCAATGTGTTGGATTATGTCCATCGATATTGAAATAGTAGACGAGGTCTAACTGTTGCTTGTCTCATTCATATTTCCGGAATCAGCACATATGTAAATCTCTTCAATCCAATCAATATCTTATTAAAAGATCACAAAAATATTAGAGAATAGAAACTTGCGAGAAGTTTTAATAGATTTCGCTTTCTGCCATTATTCTCAGGTGTTATCGTTTAGTTCATCTCTTTGTTACGAGTATACGCCGAAAAGAAGAAATATTACAGGCACCGCCCACCTTTCAGTCATTAAATGTGAACTTCCTAATTCGATCGTTCAGTAATTGCTCTTAGTAACTCAGAGATACCTCTTGAAAGATTACTGTACTCCCTAGTTCTTCTCTGTTTCCATAGAATTGCAACCAATCGTAGTACGCAAATTTTCGAGCGCCATCACGTACGAACTGGTCTCCTTGGAGGATTAATAAGAAACCCTCATCCGAAGCTATTCCTGGATTACCAATACCATACGGAACTAAGAACATTGATAGTTAAGTTGACGGCTGAAGTTCTTATCTTTACAATTTATTTCTCTAAGGTCATTCTTCTTTCTTTCTTATTCCATAACCGGAATTGCTTCAACTACGTTTGATGCGAAGCCTCATTTTATCTTAAATCATGAACTTACGTTTCAAATCGTCTAGCATTTCGTTTCGTCTTTTATAGTTTATTGAACAATTGATTTTTTGTCTTCGAAAAAGTGTTTTCGCCCACAAATCTGATCTTTCAATCTTTTTAGTTTAGGTGTTTTCATAATTCACGAATACACTGATATATGCATGGTGTATGTGGAAAAAGTTTTAAAGTTTCTGAAGAAACCCAATCCTATCGTTATGGTATCTCTATCCTTTCTGATGCTATGTAGGTTTCCCATTTCTGTCGAGCGTATCGTCATTGTTGTTTTTAGTAGCTCTATTGGTATCAGTCGTTGACTTGAATAGTGATAAGGACAAATTAGCTGAAGAGTTTCCGTCTCGAGTGCAGTATGTTCTTTTCAAACTTTATAATTTCATAACAGGATTAAAATTATAGAGCAGGAGATGCCTTTACCGACATCGATACTGCTGTCGAAATGGCTAGACGAATAGAGAGTCTTGAGTCAGAAATCAAGTCTTTAAAGGATAGGCTTAGTTCTACGAATCTTTCTGGGTAAGTCAGAGTTTCTCGATCAATCTATTATATTTCCTTCAGGAAAATTTACCCAGAGGTTCGTTATAGAAGTGAAGATACTGTTAAACGTATATTAGTCACTGGAGGGGCAGGCTTCGTTGGATCTCATTTAGTCGATAGACTCATGCGTGATGGTCATGAGGTATCACTATACTAAGAAGTACAATTGAATGTTTTCTCATTCCAGGTTATTGCTCTCGATAATTATTTTACTGGTAGGAAAAGAAACATTGAACATTGGATAGGTCATCCTAATTTTGAACTTGTTCATCATGATGTCATAAATCCTTATTTTGCTGAAGGCATACTCGAACTTGAAAATAAGTCCTTGATTTCAATCATTTCAGTTGATCAAGTTTACCATCTCGCTTCACCAGCATCCCCTCCACATTACATGTATAATCCTGTAAAAACTATTAAGACAAACACATTAGGAACAATTAATATGCTTGGGCTGGCCAAGTCCTCTTCTTCATTTGAAAGTTCATTTATCGATTTCTTTTTAGGCGTACCAAAGCAACAGTCTTACTTGCCTCTACTTCTGAAGTTTACGGAGACCCTGAGGTTTGTATTCTCTTCGCGCTCTTGATCATTTTTGTTTTAAAGGTTCATCCACAACCAGAATCTTATTGGGGTCATGTGAATACTATTGGTCCTAGAAGTTGCTATGATGAAGGCAAAAGAGTTGCGGAATCACTTATGGTTGCATATAGCAAACATGTATGTTCTATGATTTTGCTACGAGTTGCAATTCGTTTTTGTCCAGGATGGGATTTCTATACGCATTGCACGTATCTTCAACACCTTTGGTCCGCGTATGCATATGAATGATGGTAGAGTAGTCTCCAACTTTATTATTCAAGCATTACAAGGGAAACCCATGACGGTATAGTTGAGAAGATGATTCTTTGTTTATATGTTCTTAGGTCTACGGGAATGGTTCCCAGACAAGATCTTTCCAATATGTCGACGATTTGGTGGACGGTTTAATAAAATTGATGAATAGTAACTACTCACTACCAGTGAATCTAGGCAACCCTGAAGAACATACAATTCAGAAGTTCGCTCATATAATCAGAGATTTAGTAGGTATGTGTAGAAGGTTCTCTTCTAAAATAATACGAACAACTTCAGGTAGTGCATCTGATATAGTGAAGAAACCTTCGCAAGAAGATGATCCTCAACAAAGGAGGCCAGATATAGATCGGGCAGCAAAAGAAATCGGATGGAAGCCAAACGTGAGGTTTACACAGATATGAAGGGACTGAAAGTGTTATTTCAGGTCAGCATGCACGAGGGTCTTAGAAAGACGATCGCATATTTCCGTGATGAACTCGATCAAAATAGACGTTTATCGCCTGAAAAGTTGAGGCGGTCAGGGATTGATATATATTGAACAGCTTGATATAGCATAATAATAGAACGAGTAGACCTTCATGCACAATTTAATGTTAGAGATTGTATGTGTGATAGTATCACCTAAGTCTTGCCTTTTTGAAGCTGTGATGACTGATGTTTATAATATTGTGTACTTACCCTAATGGATTGCGGGTTTCAATCGACAACTACCACAAGCATTTTATGTTTTTTTTCTAGAGTTTATCATTTTTTCGTAATTTTCATTTCCTTTTATGTTCTGATTGTAATAATTCAGTAAAACTGATAAGCTTATCGAGCTTAATGCTGCTTCTGTTCTAAACAAAACTGTACCTGAAACGTATTCATAAAAAACCTTTCTCATTAATTTTTCAGTTAGGGAATGGTGCAGAGCTCGAGGCCTTCTGCCAAGAGACCTCGAGTACAAAGTTTAGATGATTCTTTCGAAGATCCTCCAGCTGGAAATGCAGGTGGAGGCGGTAAAACACTACAAATGAATTTGATCATCCTTTCTACTTGTCTTCAGGGTATGAAAGTTTTGATGAAGACTGTTGTCCTACTCAACCCGTAGCTGCGTCTCAATCTTACCAACAACAGCATTCTCAAATGTTTTATGCTCAATCCCAAGTTCGATTTCGTTCATGTTCAGTTAAATAACTTAGCTTAGTATCAATCGCAACTTGCTGATGTGGGTCAAGTGATAATGCTAAAGAAACAGAAAGAAAATGCTCAAAATGCATTAATGCGGTTGGAGAAGGAGAAAGCGGCTCGGGTAAACTTCCTCTTCTTCTACCTCTTATTTTCATCCGTCGCTATAGGAATACGAATTCAATAAGCAAAAACGAGAGCTAGAAGAGAGAAAAAACACAGAAATAAAAGGGTTACGAGAAGAACTCGGATCTTTGGTGAGTTTCTAGCTCTTGTATTGTACACGATATGTTTAGAAAAGAGAATATGCTATGTTAAGTTTTCGGCAACCTTCTAACAATCTGGATATTTCCACGGACTCTTCTCTTAACACAACCAACTCTGTACTACCCACAAAGAAGGTGAACTTGTCTTTTTTCTTCGAGCTCTTCGTCACGGATTCATACTAGGTGGACCTCAACAGACCAACAACTTTTCAAAACCGTTGGACAACCATGAATAGCACTAAACCGGTAGCAAACCATTCCGTGAGTGATCATGGTTGTGTCGTAACTCTGTTTTTTAGATTTTTAAACATCCTAACTGTAATCCTAATGAAAGTTTTACTCCTCTATCAACTCAGACCTCTACAAAAAGTTGAATAGTAATGGTTGAGAGCGTAAACAATCGGAACTCTTTCAGCTTCCGTAGCACAAACCTATGATTCTCTACCGAAGATTTTCAACTTCCCAGAAAAAGAGATGGCTTCGAAAAGTTGCCAGGTGGACAAAACTGAGCGAGACTATGAAGTGAGTTGCTATGTATGATAGAAGCTTCATCCCTTCATCCAGATACAGTTATCGAAACGAGAAGCCATACTCGAACAGATAATCGAAACGTCGCTGAACCTGCCATCTGAAAAGTTTAACAACGACGATTTCTTGGACTTCTGCTCAAAAATCCGAGGAGAAGTAGCTGAGAATTTTCTCGAATTCCTACCGCACGATGAATCTAATAATCAAGGAGCTAAGAGGTTTTAGATTTCACTCAATAATATTTCGGAAATGTTTGATCTCTTTCACCAATCCTCATATGTCATTTACTCTAGTTTGTCACAATTCGTTCGAATTATATATTTTATTTCAGAAAAAAATAAAAATTTAAGCAAATACTGGCCAGAACCCGTCTGTTGATAATATCGAATCGAATGAACGCATTGAAAAAAAAAAGAAAGCCACGTTGTTGAGCACGTGTATGAGAATACAAAATAGGATTCGAGAGAAATCACATCCTCAAGATGGCATTTTAAAAAATTAGTAAAACAAGGTCTTCACAATTATATATGTCGAAGAGAGGTCGTGGTTGAGACAAAGCTAGAGTTTAAAGCTTATAAATGAATTTTCAGAAGATCTCAAGGTCAGAAGGATCGGGAAGAAAGAAAAAGATCTGTAAAGGGAGTGTACAAATGAATGTAAGTAGGTTAATATGAAGGGTGTATTTCAAAAAAGAGAGGGGAGAGAAGAAAACAAGATGTTTCATTCATTAATTATTATGAGGATTGTGTTTCTAAGGTGGATGATACAGGTGGTGGAGATGGTACAGGCTTTTCCCCATCTTCACACACTTCCTGCACTTTCAGCAGTATGTTATTGGATGTCAGATGTTGTTGAGAATGTTGACTGTCCTGAAAAAACTTCAGAAGTTCATTGTTGTTTCGAAATTCGACTTACGGGATTGCTTGTCGATGAATCAGCAGCAGATATGTCCGATCTGCTTAGAATTGTCTGAAAACAAACAAATTGTTAAAGAGACACAGCTTCTACAAATTGAGATAATATTTCAAAACTCGCGAAAGTTTGTTAAGCAAACTCACTAGCTGTTTAGGTTTGCAGATAGTGGTGAAGGGTGGAGAGAAGTTAACGGATGATTTAAGTACTGGTTTTCCGGGAGTCCAATTATCATTCAAGCGATAGTACCTGTATCTTACCAATAATTTTCTCTTCTCTGTTTATTCAAACTTACATACGAGGCGACGGAGAAAATGGTGTTCGCGCTTGTCCTCGTCGTAAAGAGTTTTCTGACAAACCTGTGCCTGACAGAGCACTCCTTCGAAGATGATTCAACTCTGAGAAGGTACTAGAAGGACTATATCCATAGAAATCATGACGTCGGAAACATCTGAGTCATACATTTTGAATTGAAATGTCTCGAAATAGCCTACCTCCTGTAGAAATAGATAGCCAATCCAAGGGCTAGCAAAATGATTATGAGAAGGAAGAAGGAAACTTGCAATGGCGAACTAACAAAGAGAAAGAAAAAATAACAGATGAATGCTCTAATACCGGATGTTAAAAATACTTTTCAGAATGAATGCTTCGTCCATTCATAGGTTCATAAACTCTTCTAGTGAAAGGCCTCTCACACCGAGCTCCTACACGATCTGAGGTACAAATACATTGACGGCCAATGAATTTGTATGTGTGCAGATCAACTTCGATTTGGCACGTACCTCGATTGTAACAGTAATCTTCAAGGAAATAGTAAACATTGAATAATCACAGCAATGCACCTACGTTTGCATAGATGTTTATGTTTTTCTTTGACTGCCTCAACTTTCTCATCTATGATTATTGGAGCTGGAGTACCATATATATCATAAAAATCATCTTCTATGTCTGGATGACACAAACAGTTAATACAGAATAGTGTATGAGACATACCATCTTCAGGAGTGTTCTCTTCTTTTTCTATTTCTTGAATAGAATTTCCTTCTAAGGGGAGAGCTTGTGTGGTATCAAAACTGCCACTGCCTGAATCATCATACTATTCTGATCATAACGATTCTACGAACCTTCAAGCACATCTGATGACTGTTCGTCTCGAAACCAGGCGGGTAAACAGCCTTCTAAAGATATGATTTCATCAACATTTTAATATAACAATATTTAAAATAATTTTGTTTACCAAGAAAGTTCAAAATGCGCTCAGGGACACTAGAGGGTCGATGAAGTTTCATTATCAAAGCAAGCTAAGCAATGAACATACGGAAGGGACATGAAGGAGGAGCAGGAAAGGTAATGGTCATGGCAGAAAAAAAGATTTCAAAACGACAGCTGTTTAGGAAAATTAAAAAAAGGTTTTTCAAACATCTATATGTGACAAATGTATTGTTCGAACACGAATTCTCATGTTCATATGGTGCTCAGACCATATGCGAGTCCGGCGAAATTTCAAGATTTTGTAGAAAAAACGTAGAACAAACCTTTTGTTACTAGGATAGTCAGACGTAATACAACGGCTATGTACATTTATGAATGAAAGCAATAGAGTTTCATCAAGTAAGGACAAGGTTTTACATGGCATTACTTTAATAAAACCACTTCACCGACATAATCTAGGTCATTGTGAGCACGCATAGTTACAGTTAGTAGGAGATGATAAGTGACAGACAATCAATAGGTAGTACGGGCTATCAATTACGTACCTGTGAATGATAAATTTCCTACTAGAAACATGAGGAAAAACAATTTTTCCAGGTATTTCATTATGAAGCTCATCAGCAGACAGCTTTTCTTGTACGAAGATCTATATGAAGGTGAAGAACAGTCCAAGCCGTCCCACATACACACACACACCCACAATGATTATTTGGCTTTTAAAAAAGACGAAGAGTCTGAGATTGAGAGCTGAAACGATGATAGTAGTGGAACAAGAAGAGACAACACAACAGCTAGAATGTGATAGGATTGTGCAATTCTCGAAACATTCCTCATAGATAGATATGGTTAGACTCAAAGTGTTAATGAACTAAATAAAAAAAAACATTTTTTAAACAAACAATTCAAAATGTTAGGCAAAATCTAATCCAAATCGGAAATGATCTGAGCGACGTTCCGAACGTCATTCAGTGATACGGTTCATTAATGTGGCGCCTAATGCTATAGAAAGACAAAGTAGAAAATCCGAAGGCGTTGAAACAAAATATTGGAGAGGAAATCGCTAAAAAAAATGAATCATACAAGCTAAATTTAGAGAGTGCCAATGACAATACGGAGAAACAAAATCAATAAATGATAGGAGCACTCGTAGTTTCATCATTACTATAATCGTAAGTAATATTTCTTATTTGTCAATATTACAGAAGAATGGTTTTCAAGGTTATCACTCATTTATATTTAAATTCGTCATTTGTTTGCATTGTTGAAATACTTGACCTCTGTTAACATGGGAAAGTTTTCGTGATTAGTCAGCTTTTTAATTACTGAACAAGGATCTTAATTTTCAGCCTCCCTTTTCTGCCGTTTTTTCTATTCCATGTATGGTCAGAGAATATCTCAATCGTTTTTATTTTTTTCGCAATGTCCTGAGAAAGGTTTTTTCCGCCAAATGAATCTGCTCATCTCTTTCCATTCCTTTTTTCAAAAGGTAAAACCTTTGTGTAGTACATCTGAAAATCTTATTTCAGACCACACAAACAGCATTCCACAATTTTCTTGGATGGCATATTACTCGAACAAAGAGTCTTATCAAATTCTTCTGCACAAAGTGATAGGAAAGTCAATTGATAAAATCGATGAATGCGTGAAACATTTTGGTGCTGTTGGATAAATTAATAATAATACTCATCAGTACATGAATGAGAACGTCATTCACTCCTCGTTTTCATTACCGTATCTCAATTATTATTGAGTTGACTTTCTTTTATGAAAAGTTCTTTCTCTTTCACATCCATCATTTTTATTTATGAAATTATTTGAGTTTATTCAGAGTTAACAAGCTGTGACGAATGGAAGACACATCGTTTCGATGCTCCCACAACCTCATTTCTCATTTGGATGGAAACGTGAGGTCAGAGCTTATCTATAATACTTTTTTTCTTTTTTTTATTCTTGAATTTTGTTGAAAATTGTCACAGGTAGGAGACGTTGGTACCATTCCATCTGTTTCTTTGCTGTTCTTGTAGTTCTGAGAGTCACATATACTTATCAGATATCTTCCAAAACGATAAGCTTGTTCTTTCCACTACCACCTGTATTCTGCGAAAGCTGATCATCCAGCCGTGGTTTTTTTGCATTTTCTGCTTGATTTCCACTTCCTAAATCGCATCTTCCACTTTGTTTATATGCTTTAAGTCTTTTGCTCATTACATTCCTAAAAATCTTTCAAAATTTCCATCTCCAACTGTTCAAACATTCTGTTTTTTGAAGGTAAAATGCATTGGTTAAACGGAGTATTCCTCGTATTTGCTGCTTGTCTCATCGGTCTATCCTACTCTGCAAATCCATCAGAAGACTCATCCCTTCTTCGTCAAACACGAGTAAACTATCAAAACATTTGAAAAAATATTTTTTTACTGACTCTCCGATGTTCCAGAGCTTTCCATACTCGGTATCTTTATATCGAATGCTAGGCCATGACCGTCAATTGAGGCCATATTATGGTGAGGATGACGAAGTTGCTGCTATTATTGACGGTTTGAATCGAGATGAATCAGCTCCGAGACTCCGCAGAAGTGGAGAACAGTTAAAACGTAAGTCAGGTGATAGAAACTTCATCTTTATATATATTTTTTGTCATTTAGGATATGCTTGCCGATTTAAGTTTTGTAGAATCTTCGATGCTTAAGCAAAGAAATATTTTACGACAACAGTGCCAGCAGATTAAATGATCTCCTCTTCTCCGTTTTAAACATTTATTTTATTATCTTAATGATCTCGGTTGATAAACGGTTTTAATATATGCACTCATATGCATCCACCTGGCGAAAGACATGAAACATTCACGAACAAACGAAGACCAACGATAGAAATGAAGGCTGAAACGGGATTGCGCCATAATTAATAGTTGAACGTATTGATTTTCAAACTGTCATACAATATCTTTCCAACAACCCCGTTTTTTCGAGTACTTTCAGATCGTTATTGTTTAAAAAACAAAACAACGTAACCACTTCCTTGTATCTGTCAGGACCTTGAAGAAGATATAGCCGCTCTGCACGTCAATTCTCTAGAAAGTAAGGAAGGTTGTGATAATGGTGGTTGATGTTTCCTACGCACCACGCACACGAGTATATATCCAAATAAACAAAGTTAAACATAAATTCGGCCTTTATTGATTACACAGAATAATTTGAAACAGCGAAGCATTGTTAATTGAGAAAACGAAGGCTCTCGCACTCAATTTCATTTTTTCCTACTGTGACAAAAACATGAAATGTCTCCGACGCGAATGTGCGTACGAATGGTTTTTTCAATGTTTTCATAGGAATAACACTTTTTATTTTCAATACTTGTCGCTTCCTTTCCAAGCTTATATGTACTTTGAATTGCTCAATGATCAAGCTCATTCCAGGTAAAGATGGCCCTCCTGGATATAGCAAACATTTCTGCTCAAATGGATGAGCACTTCAACGCCAAAATACTGAATTACAGACTTGTTGATGATTCTAAATTTGCTGTGAGTTATTTTCTTGAAAGACTACGACCTAGAATAGGTGTATCGATTAATCAATGTGATATCTTTCCCTTCTCTTGTTTATTGCTGCTGAAATCATTAATTTTTGATTATTCTTTGGTGTTGCTTCAACTTTTGGCTTCCTTCGATGGTTTCTTTGATCTTTGCCGTTCCAGGTATATAATGTTCAAATCACTGTTGGAGAACATACTTGGACTATCGAAAGGCGATATAGTGAATTTGATTCCTTCGATCAAGCAAAGTTTCAAGACCGAAAGAAGTCTTTCCTGCCACCTAAGAAACTAGTAGGAAATATGGTATGATCAGACAACAGCAAGTTAGTAAACGGAGAGATTGATTTATAGGATCCCGAGTTTCTTGAAGAGCGTAAACGAGAGTTAGAAAAATATGTGAAAGCTATACTGGAATTGGAAGTATGGCATCAGAAACAAAAGGGGATCAATTCATTGTCTCTGTCTACAGCGCGATTTTTCGACTTCCATCAATACGTGAGTTCTTTTTTTTTAAATTGTGGACTAAAAAACTTTGAAACGTCATTGTATATGTGTGTGCTTAGTCAGAACTTACTCAGTAGCTTGGGAAAATGTCCTTAGACGACATAAAACAATGGATTTGTTTAATCTAAACTGGGAAAATGGGATGACTAGTGAAGAAAACGTAGAAACTTTATTGTTCTATACAGTGACAACAATACGAATACTCAGCATTATCGGTTTCCTTGTTCACCTTGAACAAACTGATGGTACTGCTGTTTCATTTTCCCGGCTTTATAATATCCGGAAGTAATGCAAATAAAAACAAAGCGAATTATGAATGTATACATCATATAAGTTTTATGAGATAATTTTGAAAGGAATCCATGAAACATAGAAGGAGAATCGTTTGATGCTTAGTTGTCATCGTCAGTTGCATGATGGCTTGTAAGCTCTCCTCGGCTTCCTGTAGCTCGACGTTTCATGCGCCAGTATTGAAGTCTCGTCCATAATTCGCGAATCGCCAAATAGATCATGACAACGTTCTTGATTGAAAAGACTGAGAATTGATATCTGGAATGACATATTCGTTGCTAGTTGTTTAAGCTATCAATTAGCTTACTTTTTTCCCTTGTTCTCGATTTCCAGTAGAATGTACAAGTAGATACGTAATCCAAGAACTGGTCCATTAACCTTCAATTTAAGCATACTTTGATAATCTCACTATTAAATTTGCTTACGATTAAGACGTAAACTAAAGCCCAAATCTTGTCGCTGACCAAAAGAACATTAGGGAATCGTCCAAAACGTAATCTCAGCAGTGTGAAAGTCGGCATTACGAAGTTGACACAAACAACGCTGAGAATGGCAACGTCAAGCCAGAAATGCAACTTCCATGTGTCGTTCTGAAAATATTCATAAAGCCCTCTTTCTGATTACTTATGTTCTTCTTCGGTGTTCATGCTGGAACAGCGATATTTGGTTTCGTATAAGATGACTATTTGACGCTGGTAGGCTAAGATTTGCTTAGCCCGCAACTTGCACAATACGCGCTCTTCATCTTACAGTTTGAACAATAATTTTGGTGAACTCATATTACATAGAGACCTTCGCGCGCGATGCTTTTGTTATTAACTTACAAATGATTGCCAGAGGAGATCCATAAAATCTATGTTGTCAATGAGATCGAGACAGACAGCGGTAGCCAAGTATGCAATGTACATTTGACGAGTACTCATTAAAGGAGTGTAGTGGTGAGTTTCCAGGAGGAAAAGGAAGATAGGGGCAGAAAGTGTTAGTCCGAGTTTGAATAGTTGGTCATCGAAGAGCTTATCGTTGTTATCCAACGAGCCAGGTGGTAACTGAAACTTATTGAAGTCCACTTATATTCTGTTTTGTATCCTAACCTTATGGTAGAACAGACGGAAACAGGCAGATATCTTGCCGACTAGAACTAGAGAGTAGATGAACCATCCTATCCAAGCGTATTTCACTTTACCATCTTAAATGGCATTTTGAATTCCCACAATTTTTTCCCTCAATACTCACCCACGCTGCAAACTTCTTCCATTTGAGTCTGGTTATGCTTTACAGCGAGAACCAGTAGCCAGAGGAAAACAACAATAACTAAAGCATCGGCACCAATCCATGAATACCTGTAATCCTATTTGGTCATTCGCTTTTATTTGTGATCTCACCATATTTTATCCGAAAGGACTGTTAAATAGTAGTAATCGAGCAATCCTAGTTGGATGATTACCAAGATAATACATATGAAGAAAGAGGAAATGTCGAGGAAACCTCGAACACATCGGCCTGAAATCGTTTTTACTTTACTCCAGGCCTTGGAAAGAGATAATCAGTGGCATACTTCACATGAACGTGATTTGCAAATAAGTAGTCAAAGGTTACCTGGGATGACAGCCATCGTATGGTATTTAGTGGGTGGTGCTAATACCAAAGCAGTTTCTTCTGCTGATCCGTCACAGGCTTTAATGGGAAACTCGTCCTGTCCGTCGTAGTACTCGGAGTGCTGAACGAATTCGTCACCGTTTTCCTCAACGACGTCTTCGATTAAATGACGAGGATCACGGCCTGATGTGTTGGCGTATTCAACTCCTGCAATGGTTAAATTCATTATAACAATATAGTGAAACGACGACAACAAAAGGCATGAGAAGCGAAGACCAAAGTGTTTAGGTTATATCTGAACTTCGTTAAGTTAAGAGAGAAAGGTGTGTCGGAGTAAGTGTTCCTGTACGCGTTAAAAGTAAGTGACTTAGTGAAAAAGAAAACTAGATTCAGACAGTAATCATCGATTGGATTGACTCACAACAGTCGTATGAAGTTATGACAAACAACAAGATTTGAGAAAGTTGACCATTCACAGAAGTTTTTCTATTAATAAGTGAAGTTTTCTTGCCTCTCTCCCAGTAAAAAAAATCATCGCAGAGATGCGGAAAGGGATGAAAATCCTTTCCGACTTGCTTGAGCAGAAAAAAAACACGAGCAATCCGATTAGGGGAGAAAAAGTTACTTGTACAAGCAATTCTCTGCCGAAGCTTAAAATCAGAGCAAATAATTGGTTTTAAATAACTCGTAACATTTCTTCAGCAGGTTACAACAGAATGTTGATGAATGTAAGTTGTATATCAGATGAATAGGGAGGGTTTTGCGTTCTTTCCAAAAGTTCATATTGGGCTAAAAGGTTTATGTTTTGTTTCAACATACGGATCTATTCGAATGAAATAAACTTGTACCAAAACATAACATATGTGGATGAGGAGGTCATATTTGGAGAACTCAGAATGAGTGAACAGTAGATAAGAAAGAATTGAATTGACTGAAGACACCCGCTCTTCGTTCACTCTCAGCTCACAATTATTTGAGAATCGGCATGTAAACAAGCTCAGGGCTACTCACCCTTTAGATTCTCTGAGAGTACGCCAGAGACTACATAATCAAGTTGGATAGACAGCGGATATGAGAAAAGAAGAAGAATCCTCTTTGAGGTTTTTCGATTATAAAATGGGTGGAGTGAATGTGAAAAAGAGGCCGAAGAAGCTTGAAAAACATAAGGTCGTAAAAAATCCCGAAAACAGAGATGAGTGTTAGATGCAGGAAGGAGTTAAGAATGCAACAGTTCTCCACGCCAAAAAGTGCACAATGTTGATTAGTAACAGTCGATTTCTATGCAAATTTCCTGTTTGCGTGTAACACACACGTGAAGACGACGTCAACTGGATGTTCAAATTGTTTGTTTTTCCAAAAATAAGAATGTCGTTGTTCCCTTTTCTTATCCTGTTGAGTTCTGTGTTGTTTTGGTTTCTTTTTGTTTTCTTTTCATATTGAGCAGAAAAAAAGAAAACAAAAAGAAATTCAATAAAATTTGTTTAGTCTAAATACTCGTCCTGAATTCTGAACGCCATTCCAATTCTTGTATAGGCTTGAAGGGTCATCTGCTCCGTTCTAAGCAGGGTTTTTTTGGTTCCCGTCACAAATGACGACAATTAATTTTCTTAGCAGCGATACGTTTTCCACAAACAACTCATGATTGAATGAATACAAATCTACATTCAGACTATCGCGGATTTATTTCGCTTTTATTTTCGTATTTCATGAATGTTCATTAACCATCTGTTTGTGGTTCAACCTGCTTTGCTTGATTAGAAATCCTAGCTTTAATCATTATTAAATTGTTTACACCTTGGTCCTTCTCTCTCTCCTTTACCTGTCTCTATAGTGGTATCAAGAAATATTAATTATGCAGATTCGCTAAAGGATTATCGTCTAAAGAGACGGGCGCACCATCTGCTTTGGCAGGCTAAATATAACAGCTTGCTGGATAGTAAAACCAAGCGGTTGCCTAGTTCACGGCCAGCCAGAGCTTGTATGCGCGAACGACCTCATCTAGGAGCTCCTATTTGGCATAAGAGTTGGTTGACCGTCTGTCATATGCAATCAATTGCTCCGTATCTCCTCATTCTTCTCTTCTTAATTCACATTGCCTCCATCACAAAAAGGACTTGATTATGGTTGTGAAATTTACACGAAGAAGCAGCATATGTTCTAATCGAGAGCCAGCCATTTTCTTGAGTGAAGAGCATGGAATCGATCAAATAATAGTAACTAAAAAAAGCAGACGAGAAGAAGGCAATTGTTACTCCGCTGTGAAGCTAGAAAATCTCCTTATTTTGAGGTCCCGAAACGTAGTACTAGTAGTCGATACGGATTATTGTTACCAGGAAATTTTTGAGAAGAAAATGAGAGGGAAATGCTCAACTGGCGCTCAGCGAATAAATGAAACGGCTTGATAGATGGGAAGGCACAAACGTATGCGATAAGGAAGATTTCTGAGGGAAACAAACATTCCTCTGAGTTTATTTTCTCAGTTTTATTGCTTCTACGAAGGTTTGCTTGTCAAAAGCTTTTTCTAAGCTTGCTGTATGTTCGGAATTTGATTGATATCGCTGATTTTTAAACGGTGTTTAGTTGTCACAGGATGTTAAGTCAATCCGTTGATTGAAATACGAAAGAAATAAGCGAAAGTAAGTTGGGAGGAACCAAATAATGCTTCCGTCTTGTTTACGTATAAGGAGGTTGAGAGTAATTTAGAAATGTTTCGAGTAAAACCCAATGTTCAATTGGTTCGAGTACAAAGAGTAGCAAATTGGTATTCCGCAAGTTGCTTCTATTTTCCAATTTCCACAGTCTCTCTCTTCATTTCGCATGCGAAGGAGAGGAATGAGGAGCTGCAAAGGTTATGCTGCTATAAAGCTCATAATGCTGGTTTATTTGCAGTTGACGCTGTAAGGCGATTAGGTTGTTAATGGAGCATAGGAGATCCGAATACAGTGTCAATAGATATCCTTAGAGTTGTTAATAACTGTGAAGGAAACGAAATGAAATAGATATGATGAAGCTAGAGGAAAAGAGAAAGAAAGAAAAATAAAAAAATAAAAAGAACGGGAGAGCAAGTCAATCATGGTGTTCATGTTTTGGGCTAGTAATCCCTTAGCTGAACGATGTCAGATTGAAGATATGCAATTTTTCCGGAACAATATGTCAACCTACTAGAGAAATGTTGTGTCTATACGAGGAGAAAAAGCATTTGTTTCTTTACGATATATAACCCTTCTGCCTTCCTCTCTCTCTCTCCATCATAAAAAAAGCAGTGGCATTTATGAATATTGAGAAATGTGTACGAGTAAAAGTAGCGAAACTAGCCGAAGTCCTAAGCTGATTTCAAAAACAAAATTTCGTTATTCTAGGCTTCTTCTCACAACCGACATGATACGAAAGTTATGATACAGCTTCTTTGGCAATGCAACATGAAAAGCACCAAAAAAATATTGAAAAACCAACCTCCGATGTCCATAGAAGTTCAAACAGACGAGTCGTGCCACAGGATGAACCTGCTTGACTAAGTTGTTTATTTGAGCTGTCAATAACAACAGCCTAGCAGAAATTAACGTTCAGCTAATGCTGGAACAAGACGCAGAGAGTGGTAGAGAGAAAAAGTAATGAATGAGCTAGGAGATATGAATAACAGGGGCAGATAGCCGGCTGGATGGGCGGATCAAAATGACCTAAAGATAGCTCTAATTTGGCAGTGAGCCAAGCTGTATCTCCGTAAGTCACTAGGTTCAGGCTTGTGGCACACACGCTCGCAACAGCAGGCGTGGTTAGTAGAAAAGAGTAGAGATAGGAAGAAGAGGCGGAGAGAAACAGATAGCCACAGCCGGCAGCATTCAAGAAGAGGAAGAGAGGAAGAGAAGAGGGAGAGGTCATCTGGTCACGCCCTAATCGTCTGACCGGAGACCGACCGGCTTCGTTCCGTTCTTGAACCGACAACAGATTCTTGTTCGGGACAGATAGCATGTGAATGCCAGCTAATCATGCTTCCGGCATGCCCTGTTTCCCTCTTCATTCTCAAATCTCAAGCTTCTGAAGCTTCAGCCTTATTGAGAATTTTCAACACTCCGAGCATGAGCTCAAAAGCTTAATATCTTGCCTCATAAATTCATATCAAAGCACTTATGGTGCATAAGTTACAAAGCTGTCCGAAAATAGAAACATGAGCGGATTAGGAGTCAATCGGAGAAGACGACAGCCGGTCGGCACGACTTTCATGAGGTTGCCGTAGTTCCCTGAACGGTCATTCAGGGCGTGTGTTCAAGTTTCTGATTCATCTGTTGCCTTGGGAACAGACCCAGTGCCTACTTCAGATCACTGTTATGCACTAATCTAAACTGATATTGTTTCTTTCTGAAGAGTGTTGGCTTAGCTGCCCCTATAAGGTGAAAGATAGATGCATCCAGGTAAACATGACCATCTGCCACCAATTCCTCATAGCTTATGCACAAAACGATTACCATCAGAATGTTTTCTGACGCATTCATTATATTCTATGGCAGAAAGCTGTCAGCTGAACATCGTGTCCCAGGTAGATTGTGACTATCTGCCCCCAAAAGGGTTTGACGGGCTTTCCATAATGCTTAGTCAGAGGCTGAAATTTTGATAGCTTTCGAATATTACGCCTACAGCCAAGGGAGAAATTAATACTAATGAGTGAACGGCCAACATTGCAATTGGAATCCCGCGGGATCTCGTAGTCGTCTCAGCTATTTGTTGGTCTTTCTGAAGACGAATGTGCCACAAATACTGTGAAGTTGTGTTTTTTTTCTTTTTATCGGACTTTCAAAAAAAAAAGAACCAAAAAAAGTTAAAAATCTTCGATGTAAGCTGAAGTTGTAAAACATGCCGAATTCTGAAAGAGAACCTTATTTCATGGATCGATGCATAAGGAATGAAGTAACAGTTGGTGTATTCATGGCAAATTTTGAGAAATTAAATATTTCTCTCCAACTCTATCTGTTCTACTATCTCTATACGAAACGGTCAATTGGAAGAGCATTCTTTCTATTGGCATCAAAAGCTTTATTAGTTAGAAGGATGGTCTTACTCCAAAAGAGATCTTATTGTGCCGTTTATTCTTTTACATCCAATCATGTACTTTCGGTTTCTTACTATTTGAAGGAAGAGTAAAAGTAATTTCAATGGTCATCTGCCCCTCTATCGCGATCGTATTGCCTTTCTATCAATTTGGAACCATTCTTTTCCCATCTCTTCGAATTACGTAAGATTAGCCGTTTCATTGGAACATTCTCCATTTAAGAAAGGCATATTAATTAAATGCAAAAGGAGGGTTTTTCTTTCTGAGATTGAAGAGGAGTAGAAGAATGGCATGGATCAGCCCTTAATAACTACTTCAGCTCTATTGAGCATTCAAGTTTGAAGGTCGACAGCGCTCACAATTATTGCGGTTGATGAACAATACCTTTGATAGAGCACAGAATCCTCAAAAACACGGCTAGTCTTTCTTTTCATCTTTCTCATTCTCTTGGTATCTTTTTTCTCTCTCATACCCAACCTCTCTTCCTTCATCATTGAATGGATTTTTTTGTCATTAACATGTGATAGACTGTTGAGAGAGAAGATGACATGAATCTAATAGTGAAGGGGAGGGGGGTAGATTGAGCGAATGTTCACATTTTGTCATTCCAAATAAGACCATTTGTGCTCTCATCCTAATGTCATTGTCTTAATAAAGAGTCATCTGTCGCTGGAATTGTAGGTGTCCACATTGTGCTCGAGTGTAGTCGGAGCTAAGTGAAATGAATAAAAACAAGCAGACGACATGAATTAGAAAGATGCGGCAGACAGTTAAAACGGATGACAGATTGTGCCATATATGCTATCTGCTGGGGATAACATGACGGAATGATAGTGTCATTCGATATACAAAAAGCTTGTTCCAAATGGAAGTACAAATATTTTGGAGACAACATGGAAAGCTGATTCAAGTGACAGTTACTGTTTCTTCTTCTTCTTCTCTCTCTCTCACTCACTCTCTTGTGTTTATATCTACTAGAATATAACAAGAGATATACTGAGTGAAAACCATGGAGGTCACCGGATGTAAGGGTCGAATTCACTACCATCTATTTATAAATCATAATTATTGTTTTCTTTCTGTCATTGTTCAACATCGTATCAATGTTATTCATAACTTTAATAGATGAACGAGAAACGAGGTAACAACTGTTTTCGACACAGATTTCACAGCCTCTAAAATAGCTTCTGTAGTGTTGAATAGTAAAATATTTATTTGTTTCTGGACGAACAATACTTCTCTCCAATAAGATCTTCAACACAATGTTTTATTCAGAAGAAGTGTGGAAATACGTTAGAATTCTCTCTCTGTTAGCGTATTAGAGCTGGGAATATTTAACTTTGAAAAAAAAAAGTTTCATTTTTCAATCAAATTAAGACGGAAATGAAAGCAAAATGAAACGCAACCGCTCTCATTCGTCTGCAGGAATACAAAAAATTCTATTTGAAGGAACATACGTGGAAATGACGTTCGCCATTCCACGTAGTTAGTTGGGTTTATGTAAATTAGGCGATTGCGTAATCATACTAGCATTTTGTAAAAAAAAAAGAAAAAAGCAATGTGTTGTTATATGTTTATGCGAATGACCTATTAGATTGGCATCTTGTAACTAGATGGAGCAGAATGAACAGAAGTTATGGGGACATCTGATTGGTCTCGTCTTTCTTTTTTCAACAACTAATATAAAAACTTTTTTTTTCTATTGAAAAAGCCATGCTCGTTACATCAGACAAGCGCATATTTTGAAATTCAGAATGTCGACCAATACTTTGAATAACTTCAAACGAACCGCTTATGACGTTTCGGGCTGTTTGCACAAAAAAAAGAGGAAGATGAAAGAGGGAAAAATGAAAGAGACTCTCTTAGTCAAAATAAAAGAGAAAAAGGTGTTGGAACCTTTGCAATATTTTATAATTTGACCATAACAAGCGTTGTTAATGGGCATTGAATGAGACTCGATCGGTCAGTCTGTTATACCTTTTGAGATGAGCCGAGACTAGAGCAATCATTCATATATGGTTGTCGCTACAACAATAATACCAACAACAACAACAGCAAATGACATTTGACATATAACCTCATCGGTGATTAAGTTCACTGACACATATCTCGCTCTATTTCCTTTGAATGATGGAGCCGTTATTGTCTTTCACCTCAATTTACCTCATCACCGATCTTAAAAGATAATTACCATGTTTCTAGTGTAGAAATTGCAATTCATAGTAACATTCCGAAAATGTTTGACATACAACTAATTTTATATTTTTAAGGAAGTTCATTCAATCGTCGATGACTTGTCTATAAGATTAGGCTCTGTTGGTGAAGAATGGTTGACCACTAGTGCCGTCTCACCAAAGTATTTTGAATTCACTCCAATTGAAATGTTTGCTATAACCAAACGTCTTGGTCTAGCAGAACCTACAGCTCCAGGTTAGTTGAGCTTTTGAACAGAGAAAAAAAAAGTCTTAAATTGGCATAGAAATAGAAGAAAAAAGAGTTCAAAGCTTTTGAGAACAAAAAACAATCAATGGCGAGATAATTCGGAGAGGAAGAATCGCGCGGAAGTGTTTTTGCGGAAAAAACTTGATTCTTCTCTTTAAAAATAAAAAGGGCCATTTGCTCGTTGATAATCTAAAGAACTACCCAATGTGTGGTGAAGCATCATCAGATGTTGTGTGCTAGAATTAAATTTAAAAATGTAATTTAGGCTTTGCACACACTTTGCTCACACAGTTTGTTTTCAGATTCGAAAATGGCTGCTGATATCGGCAACACCATAGACTTTCTGCATCGAGTAAGGGCTCTTAAGGTGTGATAAAACATGAAAAGGGATAAGAATGATATGTATTGTAGGTACGAGGTGCTAAAGGTTATGTAGGCAGTTCCAACATAGTCTGGAACTCGTTGGAATTCAGTTTACAGTTTTGCAAAAGTTTATTAGCCTTATGGGTGAGTAGATTCAACGGAGGAATGAATACATATGAGTTCAGATAACGGATTCGGATGTTTTACGGATCAAAAGTGTTTGGACATTGAAAGATAGTATACGACGTCTGGTAATTCATTATTCAATGAAACAAATCAAGGTGAGAGCTCAGAACTTTGAGAAGAAGTAGTGCATCAATTCATGTGAAAGCTGAATGTAAAAATCAAAAATGGTTTTTTTAGGATCTTCTGCTTGATGAAGAGCCTCCCATTCCAATTTCTGAGATGGAAGCATGGACAAGCTTGGAAGAAGCTGATTTTTCTTTTAATGAAGTGGAAGAATTGGATGAAACAGTCGTAAGAAAGATTTGACGAGTAAGCTAGAGTAAACTGATGTTTCAGAGATTACTTGGGAAAGTACAAGTTTTGAATTTATCACACAATAGTCTCAAGGTATCTAAAACATCTTGATTTTCTTAACACTTATGCCTTTTTAAGGATATTGGTCCTCATTTGCAACATTTAACCAATTTAACTGAACTTAACTTATCGCACAATAGCATCAATTGTGTGAAAGACTGGAATTTAGTTCTGGGAAACATCAAAAAACTAACTTTGGCAGGAAATCAAATAGAGAATGTTGAAGGCTTGTTGAATGCTGCAGCAGGAAGTTGAAGTTCTTGGATTGCAGGCTTATCAAAACTGTACTCTTTGGAGTATCTTGATCTGAAGGAAAATAAGATTGAGACTATCGAATCTATGCAGTCGTTGGGAAGATTGCCATGCTTGGAAGTTCTTATTCTACGAGGGAACTTGGTTCGGAAAATAGTCGACTATAGGAGCAAAGCTTTCGAAGTTTTCGGTGATCGCGCCAAGGAGGTAATCTCGTCTTCGGAATATTTTGATATCGGCAATTTATTTCGCAGATTCAATTGGATAGTCGATTAGCAGATGCTCGAGAACTGGACACGGTTCGAGTCCGATTAGCTTTGAAGCAAGCTAAGCTGGAAAAAGAGGAAAAAGAACGAAAACGTCGAGAACGTATCAAAGAGAGAGTTAGGTAGGGTCTGAAAGTAGTAAAACTGGTTATTATGATTAAATTTTCAGATATATCAGTGGCGAGGTTGATAGTTTGAAGCCTGGCTCCCTATAAGGGAAGAAAAATGGCAATAATATGGTTTGGCTTTGCGTTTCAGCATGACTTTCACCATAAATCTTAAAGCTCTGAGCTATTTCATTCAGTCCTTATTGTCATATTACGACTGACTGAAATATTTTGGAAAAGGAAGAGTGAGCGAAAGGGTCGCAGTGTTTTTCATTTTTCTCCAAGCTAGTCTTGTTTGTTTTATATTAGAATTTAATGACTGAATCTTCGTTGTGCTCAGTCAGTTCATATGCGCGGGTAAGACATTTCCTGAGATTGTGACATTTTCAAAATACTTTCTTATTACCGTTTGTGAAAGACTGGTACTTGTATCATAATCATTTGGGCCTCTAAACTTAATACTTGGCCAATGCATGTTGTGGGTGGTTGCTTAATAACTTAATTTGAGCTTATCTTTCGAATTTGATAGTAGGATGTCTGCTTATTTTATAATTAATTTGAATGTTTGTGATATTTTTTTTCAAATTGAATAATGTACAAAGCTTCTGGAAAGTTTCTGATTAAATTATATATTTGAAGCTTTTACGAGCTCTCAATAAATAATAATAATGAGAAAAACATTTATTATCAGATAATTGCGATCTGATATGACTCGTAATACAAATACACGAATAAAATGAGGTGATTGGAGGAGATATGGTGATCGTCTTCACCACAACATTCAACTTATCAATTTCTGAATATTTTTAATCACAGAATTTTATAGGTAGTATATCAGGTGATAGAGTATCGAAGATCAGGAAAATGCTTGAATGAGGCAAACGCTTTGATTTCATGGACTGCTGGTTGTTAGTCAAAATAAACTTTGCTGATTAGATGAGTTGGAATGTGTTAGTTGGACTGTGTTAGTTGACTGTGTTAGTTGGTTGAGTTGACGAGATAGTTGTCGGAAGAGATGTTTAGAGATAATCATGCTATCACTCGTAGTCCCTGTAATATGGAGATTGCTATGAAAGCTGTACTTTAACACTCACTTACATTGGCATGTAACTGTTATTAACAAGGTATGTTGAGTATGTAGGCGGCGGGGGAACATAACCAACAAACGAATACAGATCATTAGATGTTTTGTGATGCCTTTTCATAAGTTTCACTAGTTCATTTTCGAATGACTCTTCCTGAATTCACAATTTTCAGGTTGGTTGGGTTTTTTGAAAAGCTGACCTGAATAGCGGGTTCGTAAGTAGTTGTCACGAGAGCCGACCCAATTGAAAGTGAGTTCTGATAATTCATTTGATGAGAAGGAAGTAATTCTTGTCCTATGGCAGGACTCTCTATCATTGGAATAGAGGAGACAGACGGAGCCTCATTCATAGATTCTAAAGCAGTGACGACTGCGATTCGGAGAGGAGTGAATCTAGAACAGAAAAAATGGTTTTCCAAAAAATCAAACGACTCACTTGATGTTTGTAACGCTCTCTACACGTCCACGATGGGTTATATTAGATAAAACGGATATTTGCTAAAAATGGATATGGTCAGAAGCCAAACATCAGTATCACTCACTTCAACTTTGTTAGGGCAGATTTTGTAACGACGAATCAACTCTTCAATGCTCATGAGATCATTTCTTGCAGTGATAACATACGAAATCTGAGAAAATAAGACGTATGGAGAATGATTTGCATTATGAACTATCTACCTTTGCAGAGTCAGCAATATCAACCACATACTCGAATATACTTTTGGCTTGCAAACGTTTAAGATCAATTGGCTCTAAATGAACTACTGTGCCATCTGATGTCTTCATTGATATGCAAATACTTCCTATAGACAATTTTTTAATTTTCTGAAATATACACAAAAGATTGATACCTCCTACTACATATGAGATTCTCAGGCACATAACAGAGACATGGGGATCCATTAATTTTTCAATCTGAATTGCGATTGTTAGATATAGTTATTTGCTCTCAAGCTACCACAGCTATGTCATTAAAGCCTAATAAGATATAGTCATTCCAGAGTGTGCGAACCGTAGTTCGACCATCCTGATATATTTGAAGAACTTCTAGCAAACCTGAAAAGATTTTTTGTTATTTTTTTCAGTGAAAGACGTTTTTACCTCTCCATATGCTGAATCTCATGTTCTGATTATCAACATCATAACGAAGATGAGGACAAAGCACATTTTTGAAAGTTACTAATCGTTCTCCGTCCACTGAGTTGTTTTTACAATCATGGTTCAAAATGTATTCTTTTACCTGAATGTTGAGAGCTGCTACGACAATAATCACAATCTAATTTCTCTTCTAACAACTGAAAATCTGCAGCCGACAACGGACGCTTCACCGCGGCATTCACAAGAAAATACGAAGTATATAAATTAACAAAGCGAGACCATTCAACTCCTGAACAACAAAATGAGTATACGATGACAAAATTGAGATAGAATGCAACCGGCTGTGTGACAAGAAAATAAATAAATACCTTTGGCACACCAGTTCAAGATGAGACCGTCAACATTTCTTAGCCCGTAGAGCCAAAAACAGGTAGCTGTATAAGAACTCATCATTCTTTGAACTTGGCAATCCTTCAAATATATTGTAGAAAGTAAGTTCCTACTCTGAAGCTACCTGGTTTCTCCGGGTTGCTATAGTGAAAGGGAGCGATAATGTTCGGACGTAACAGATATCTCCAGATGGTCCGTACATCATTCCACAAGTATAGAAATAGAACAAAGGACGTTTACCCGTATTAGCTAGCCTTGTATCTAGAAGTACAGTATCCTAAGAAAAAAGATATAAGAGTTAATAAGTCTCAGGCAATCATTGATTTAAAACATACTTTTTGACGCGTTGTACATAGTAGATGGGGATAGTGAGCTTGCCAACACGCAGATGGATCATCCCATGAAGGTTGTATCACAACAGATTCACGGCTATTCACATCCGACTTTTTGTGAGCTGTATTACCTCCATCTTCAAATTTGTTGATTTATCAATAATGAGGCAATTGATATACCTGCGTTTGCAGTAGCATTGTTCCGTTTGACTCCAGAAGTGGGCTTAACAGCCAACAAGGCTGCGGATAGAAAGTTGCTAGCGAGTGTTTGAGTAATATATCCACGTCTAGTTGATGCTACATGATTCTGATATGATTTGATTGAAGGAACACCTTTTTACAACTGTGTTGCTACCTGAATACTAATTGCTGTTTCTTCGCTGACAATTTGAACATCGAACTGCTTAAATATAAGACCCGGGGCAAGACTAGCGCAGTGGAAAGGAAATAAGTTGTTTGTAACTAATATAGCAGTGGTTGAAGGTTTAGTGGGCAGCAAAGCATCACAGACTAATCGTTCTACTACATTATAGACCTTAAAACATTAAAAAATAATTTGATCAAAAAAAAAGAAGTGAAACCGTTTTGATGACTGATCCTACAGGATCGGGTGATGAAAATCGGTTCTTTGATTGCAATGCCTCCCAACGTAAACCCTATACAGAATATTTTTCAGGAATACTACTCAAAGTTCTAACTTGTAATCGGGCAGCCAAGATACCCAACGTGTATAGCATATTACTAAAATAAGCACAAGCTAAATGAATTGCTTCGGTATCCAAATCAGATTTGTTCATCATTCGATCAACCTGTGACAATCTGCAAAAGGAGTTTCTATTCTCGTCACATCAACACTGCTAACCTGAGTTTTTGCAAAACATTCGTATGATTGGATATACATATTTCGCTAAAAAGTTGCAAATATCTTGGTAACTGAAATGATAGTGTAATACAACTAAGCGAACAAGCTTACTTCACATGATGCAAACTCCTTGATTGCTTCTTCTACAAGGTTAGATGATCGATCAAACTGAGAGTATAAATCATGAAGAACATTCAGGGTTCTTTGGTGTTGCTTAAGAGAATCAGCGTTTCTAAGATCAATTAATGATGAAAAACCTCCCAGAAGGCCTGCCACTCATTAGAATCCACATCAACAGTCGGTGGGACGGTAACATGACGGCTCTGTAAACATTCTCATCTGAAAGCTTCACCGAACGGCCAGGCCATACCTTATTAACAAGAATTACTAAATTCTGATTCAACTGCATTTGAACATGTTCTTCATTATTCGTTCCAGGGCGTGCTGATAATCTGTTCAAAATTGATAATAAGGGCCATGTGATCATACACCATTCCTTTTCAAACTGTTCGGTTGTCATACTTTGGCTAATAGAAAACAATTCTATGAAATATATGTATAAATTCTGATTAAACACATTGATTTTTAAACCTTCAATTTTAGCATTGTATTTCATGATTAGCTGGGTACAATGATGCATAATTGTTTCCGAAGTTTGGGAGAAGCTTTGAGCATTCGATAAGCTTTCATCTTGTGCTTTTTGAAGTGCAGATATCTGCAAACATTCCTTATAAGAAAGTAATTGATAATAGCAATTATCTAAATAGGAGTAAAGATGTTTCATTCATCTTCACATCAGACGCCTTCTGTTGGCATTATGAACACACATAAAGAATGTTCTATTTTAATTCTTCCAAGACTTTCTCTATCGCTTCTTCAATTCTATTATCACAAACCATGAAAATGCAAAAAAAACTTTAAAAAACCATAAATTTGATAGTTTCCTTCTTTGCTTAAATGCTATTTAATTGGTCATTAATTGAAGGGCTGTTTAAATGAGAAAAAAAATCATTTACAACCATATACAGGTTCTTATAATATAAAAACGAATGAAACTTTGCTTTTTATATCAAAAAATATGATTAAAAAATGATCTGATGACCTATGACCAACCGCTCAACACGACATTTCTTCAATTATATGAGTTTGGCGGACGTACAAGCTTCACGTACATTTTGACGTAATGCCACGAGTAATTAAGCTTTGACGGTTTAAATATCAGAAAAATCGTTATGCTGACGTCATGAAAAAAGCACGTTTTCATGTCAAGAAAGGTCATTTGAACTTTACACATTACCGAAAAGTTCTAACTTCCAACTTCATCATTTAAATAAACGTTAAGAATCATTTAAGAACCAAAAATGAAATGAATTGAAGAAACGAGTTGAGAAATATGATGAAATCGAAAACATAAATACTTTTTACTTTAAAAATTAGAACTTTCACTTACCAGGTCATGTATTAGCTTTTGAAAAGATTCATATATGGGCTGGGCGGGAGTTGACATTCCGCATGCGAGGAATGTTAATCGGATGTTTCTGAGTGTTTTCGATTATGAATTTTAGCTTTTCTTAGTCTATAATAATTAATTTTAATTAAGTTATCAAGAATATAGATTAGGCAATTTGCAAGAGCTTGAGAACGAAATTCAGAATTTGGTTTCAATTGAATGGTAATCGAAGCAATCGGTAAAAGCAAGGAACTGTCCCTCTTTCTGATAAAGAAAAATAAACTCTCTTTCTGCGGGCATCTTCTCTCTTACTGGGGGAAGCTCACACTTTTAGTTTTCAATGGTTAGTGGTAAGACCAGTTGATTAACTAAAGAACGTCAGGGTTTTCTACACCTGGAGACAAAATTGAAAGTCTTGATCGATCATCTCGTTGAACGTTGAAGCTTCAGAAGTTGGAACAATGCTTCAGACGAATTCTTCAGCTTGACCAGCTTACCGCAAAGTTTTTAAAACGTTTTGATAACAGGGAAACTGGGTGGCGCTTTGGCCTTAGTTGACTGTCGTATCATTTGCTAACAATAATCGATATTATTGCCCTAACTATCAATCAAACAATCAAAGGAAATAAGAAGAATGAAATGAAGAAGTTGATGAAGAAGATCATGAAGAAGATGGTGATTAAGAAAATGAAAAGAAAGAGGTAGAATTTCAGAAGGAAACGGTGTGTTAGGGTTATATGGCAAGTACTGATAATAGCTTTTCCATAAGTAGCATTGGAATGTGTAACAAATCAGAATGTAGAAAGAGGGAGAGAGAAGACACACGCAGAAATCAGTGTTAAAGAAGGAATAGGAGAGCTTGAATGTTAAAATTCTCCGATGATTGTTGAGAGCCAAACCATGAGCTGTAGTAGACAACGAAATCAATGAAGCCTCCAACTGATAAGCATTGAAAGAACTGAAATCAGCATTCCAACCACCAGATGGGACAGTCAAAACAGGCGTGTGTTACGGGCACTTTTTCGGTACATTTTCCTTTTGTGGTGGTCAGAGAAGTGTTCATGCATTGTATGAATTTGATGGATCAAAAAAAAGAATGACAAGCATGGCAACCACATAAACGAACTGATCAAGACAAGGCTTTAGAGTGAAAGAGTAAAGGTTATACAATTTGGTTTTTTCCGATTAAGACAGTTGATTAGAATGATTTATGATCCTTAATATGGACATTTACAAGTTATCCCGATCAATGGAAATGAAGATGAGAGATAGACTAGGTCAACATAAGGAGCAAACTTTCAAGTATAAATGTAACAATCGTTAAAACATAACAAAAACAATAACAAAGTTTAACAACAAATTTCAACAATTAAAAGTTCCTATGCATATTTACGGATCGGCATTCTCATCTTCAATACGTTCCAGATCCTTCTCAATAGCTAGAAGTCGTTGTTTCTGCTTCTTCGTAGCTGCCTTATCCCCTCTGTAACATATTAGCTCTTGTATCATCTATACCCATCAATCCTACCTGAATTTCTCAGCTGTCTTTTCTCTCAATTCTTCTACGGTGTCATCGGATTTCGCCCATTCTAATACTAGACGTCTTCCGTACAAGTGAGTTGAATGGACCAATGCTTCAAAAGCTCTCTTAGCTTCACCGACAGATAAGAAATCCACAAAACCGAAACCACGATGTTGTTCTCTGTTTCCAACCTTTATAATGAGATTTATGCACATAATTCGCCGGAAATTCACTCACCTTGCGTGGAATTCTGATGTCCTTGATTTCTCCGAAAGTGGCAAACAAGTTTTCCACTTCTTTGATCTTAGCCTAAACTCACATGTGTTTTGAAACTTCATAACGAGCATAACATACTTGGAATGGGATATTTCTGACCAGTAGTTTAGTGCATTGCCCTTGCTTGGCAGCATTGATAGATTTACGTTTCAATGAATCTTTGTCTACTTCTGTACGATGAGACAGTTTGAGCTCCAAACTGTGTCCCTCGAGCAACTCTCCCTATAAAGTAAAACTAAATAATCAAAGATACGCCGGAATAAAACCTGTAGATTTTTTATACATTCTTCCGCAGCTTCAGGAGTATAGAAATGAACGAATCCGAATCCCATTGATAAGTTCTTGCTTGGATCACCAGGATTCAGCTTTCTACTGACTTTAGCCGATTTTATACGGAATTTCTTGCTGAAAACACTCACAATGAAACAAAATACAATATTTAGTGTTTTCACCTGAAGAATTTGTGGAGACTCTCATCCGTCGTATCAAAAGATAAATTCTTCACAAAAACTGCGCATCCAGCATCGATTCCCTCGGTCTCCTGTTCCTCTGATTTTTCTTCGACCGCCTCATTCTGGGTTTCTTCCTCTTCTGTTTCTTCCTTTTTAGCCTCTTTCATTTCTGGATCCTCTGATGTCTCATCTTTGACGATGGCTGCTTCTCCCTTCTTCTTCTTCTTTTTCTGTTTGAGTTCTTTTTTCTCCTCGTATGTCATGTCACGCTTGTTTTTCTTGGGTTCTTCCGATTCCTCTTCAACTTTCTCTTCAGTGTCTTCTTCAGATGCTTTTTTCTGAATAAAGAAAAAATTAATTCGGGATAATAGTTTAGCCTTACAGCTTCTCCACCGAACGCGTCAACTGGAGCCCATTCTAAATATAGCGGTTGTGTACGGAATCTAGAGTAGGCTAAACTCTGAAAAAGAAAGCTGATTATTGTATAGAGAAGAAAAATCAAACATTGAAAGCTTTCTTGGCATCAACTTCATTTCCCATAACAATCAAGGCAGTTATACCCCCTTCGGGAGGAAGTAAGACTTTATTTACTTCACCGTGCCGGATGAAGAGCCGCTGTATCTCGTCTTCCGTAACTCCAGCAGGCAAATTTTTTGCCAGAATTATAGTCTTGCTGGATGAAAGAAAAAGATGAAAAACGAGTTCAGATAGGAAAATACCTTCTCTTGGTAGAGGGACGAGAGAACGCATCTAACTTCACCCCATTTGCCAGCAGATAATCCCGAACTTCTCTCACTAACCGTGTTTCCGCCAAAGCTAAGCGAACACCAGCACTTAAACCGATGATGATCAATTAATACAGAAAACAATTAATTACCTTTCACCACTCTCGCCAAGAAGCAAATCAGATTTATCCACACCAAGTTTTTCAGCCAAAGTATCAGCAATAGCATTAGGTCCAAGGAATAGAGCATTCCAAGAGTGGGCCTGAAAGGATGAAGTATAAAGAGAAACGGAAAATCGGTGATTCACCTTTCCAGCATTGGCTTTCAACTTTGCTGCTTTTTCTTTTTTAAAATTAGATCCGGCTTGTTCCACTTCTTTATCTTTGGGTGCTTCTCGTTTCTCCGTTCCAGGAAGGATATGAAGCATACGACCCTAGAAATTCTACTTAGGAAAGAAAAAACTTTTCGACAAACTTTGAAAATTTGGCCATCATTTTCAGCATAAGCTGCTACTGCATTTTCGGGGAACATGAATTCTACTATTCCAAACCCTTTGCAGTTTCCAGTTTTCTTATCAATAATAACCTGAGAAGTTTTAATAAGTAAAAATCAACTTCGTTATTCAAAACCTGAACATCAGAAATCTCTCCGTATGGTTTGAACAGTTCTCGGATATCATCCTCACCTGTTGCAAAAGGCAAGTTTCTTAAAAATAATCTACCTGTATCGAGAATTTCTTCTCTTATACGAGCCTGAACAGAAACAATCAAAGACGAACAAGAACTTGGAAACCGACCTCCTCCGTCTCTCTGTCGACATCAGGTACATCATTCCCACGTGGATCTGCAATTTCTTCTTCAACTTCTTCTTCTTTAGCGACTTCAGTGATTGTAACCTGAGTAATAATTCTGAATGTTTTACTAAACACGAGCAACGAACCCGGTAACCTCCCAAGAAATCATTATTCCTCAGCATAGCTCTTCTAACATCCGGGGGACGATTGAACGTTACAAACGCTACAGAAGCTGTTTTTCCATTTTGAACCTAGGAATAAGATAAAACAATAGTATCCAAGTGAACGAGTACCTTCAATGCTTTAACTCTAACAGGGGTCACCCATTCTTTTATGGATTTTGCTTTTATCGATGCTGGCAGACCACGGAATATTAAAGAGAGTGAAGTATCTCCTGAGAATAGAATAAAAAAAATTAAGCATATACTCGAAGAACCTTCAATCGACTGTAAAAGCTCATCCAACAATTCCTGTTCTTCCTGGCTTGGTGGTACGATTGCTAACTCTGGTTCCTGTAAAAGGAGTTAAACTGGTCAGGAAATTATAGTATATCGAACCTTTTTTTTCGACACTCCTGTAGCCTCTAAAAACTTTTCCAATTCTGGATTCTCTGCTTCTTCGTCCTTCTGTTTTTTGGAACTAGGGCCTTCGGTAGTTTCTGTCGGTTGTTCACCATGTTTTCTTTTAAAAGCACTGGAAGATAAATATGTATTCATTTCAACTAGTCCTGGTTCTCAATTTAAAATTTGAAATGTACACTGACCTGCTGTCTTTTGCATATATACTCCAAGCTCTAGGTTTGTCTGTTGAGCCGAAGGGATGACATTTATCTACCTGAAGATTTGATTTTTTCACTTTCTGTTTTATCATTTACAAACCTGTAGTTTATAAGAACCCATAAAAACTCCATCACATGAACTTAACACTTTATTAGCGATAGAATCCGTTTCAAAACCGAGAAAAGCAAATTTTCTGAATTTTCCCTCTTTTGTATATTTGAGTGAACAATCAGTTATGTTTCCATATTTCTTGAAATACTCTCTGACACTTTTCTCGGTAGAATTAGTAGGAAGATTTTTCACAATTAATCGTGTCATCTGAAAAAATCAGACAAGAGGTTTAGGTAAGAATGTATTCAAGAGGATGAAGAGTGTATAGAAGGACATGTTTTATTTGTTTTTTGAATGCTTTAGAAATGTGTAAAGAATTATGTATGAATATCAGTATATAAGAATCATGAAACTTCATTTGTAAGAAGTTCAAGCCGTTTCGGAAATTGTAAGCGACAATGCGAATTTAAAGGTTTATCAATGGCGCGAACTTTCATTTAAAAACTATGCTTCTCCTCCTTAACACTAGCTATGTTAAGAACAGTTATAATTTAGTTTATTTGTTCAATTAGTCTTTATAACTAATTACAAATTTGTTTTTAGTTTCACGGAGAAAAATCCACATGAATCAGGAAGAGACGGAAACTGTGTTCACAAAAACTGTATGAAGTTCTTCTTTCTCCAGTTTGTAATAGTGTAAACTGATTTAGGTGAGATTCCGATGTGACTTCCCGGATTGTAAGGATGCTCGTGATAAGCGGGATTATAGTGCGACCACAATGGAAGAGCACATGGCGAATCACTTTATATCTTTGCAACCCAGTTTAAAACAATAGTATGTTTAATCAAGCCATTTTTGATGTTCTCAGTTATCACTATTCAGTATTCATCAGTATCCTTGTTCATGTGGTCAAGTTTTTGCTACCCAGTATCATTTTACAGTGCATTTATATCAATTCAGACTTCAACATCATCGGGTACTGTTTTCTCTACTTTAATCGCCATTCACTCTCACATCTCTTTAAGGCTGCGCATGTGAAAGCGCAGTGGAATAACCAGAAGTTTTTGGATGCTCAAGCTCAATTTCATTCTCGTTTTTATCCGCTCTATGTCGCGTATAAACCTTTCCCCAAACGATGTGAGTTGTTTTCTTAAGTGGTTGTAGTTTCAGTATGTGATTTCAGTGAAGTTATATCCGGGGTACCCAATACCTGATCGTGTTGTTAACAACGACGACAATGACGACTATGATAGATGTAAGGTTTTAGATATATTCCTAACGATTTCGTTATTTGGTTCAGCGAGACGATCAGCAACTCCAGGATGCAATACGCCTGGTTCGTTCAATATGTCCAGAAATGCTTCTCCATCTCCATCGAGAGGTGGAGGTTCTAGAGCACAATCGCCATACAATGGCCGAGGTTTCACACCTTCAGTTCAAAGAAGTGGCAAGTAGCTTGTAGAATATTCTTTTCTAATTAGATACTTTCAGGAGAAAGATGGAATAGCGATTTTCATGCGCTGGATATACGAGGTTTGGAAACTCCAGCAAAAGATACATCAACGAACTCTCATGACGGGAGGGACGCAAGAAGTTCAAGAAACCTGATGGATTCAAGCAATGAGAGAAGTTCATACAATACAAGAGATTCGAGCAGTGCAAGGGATTCCAGACGGAGCAGACGTTTTTTCTTTTTTTCATATAGATGTTTTGATGATTCTTCTTCAGATTCTGAATATCAGGAAAACCGTCACGAATCAACTCGTCGTTCGCCTCGAAAAAAACCTCCGCCTCAGGAAAGTACGTATACACCGCAACCAGTACCACCGCCAATACTTCCATCAATTATTCCACCGCCAACACTTCTGCCATCACTACCTACTAATGATCCACCGACGCCTGTCCAACAAGGTTTGTTTGTCGAGACAAATTGTAAATTCGTTTCCTCAGAATTCTCCAAACCTTTTGATGAAGATGAGTTTTTGCGAGCTTTTCAACGTCGTTTCCCCTGTACAAATATCAAATCATCCCCGCTTCCAATTCTTGATACAAAGCCAAAAATCAAAATTACCCTCAAACACAATTCAAACGAAATTCATCCACAAAATAGCCAAAAAGAAAGTCCTGATGCTTCAAAACCGATAAAGAACAAGTTCACCAGTATTTGATAATCTATTTGTTCTTCATAAAGTTTCTTCATTTATAGCACCTCCCTCATCATCGTTCCTCTCTAAAATTAATACAAAGAAGAGAAAAGCTCCGACACCTCCTGATGATAATCAAGATAAGCTGAGACCGGAAAACAGTTCAGCTATTTCTATTTCTTGTCCACCGAGTTTGGAAACCTCGATTGGAATATCTGGGCAATGGAAGAACAATTCGCAATCCATTGATCAGCTCTCGGAAAAGCCACACATAAACCTTAATTATGGACAAGATACGGTCAGTACGATGTATTGAAATACGTTCTAACTGATGTTCGTTCAGACAGAGGATTTAGATTCCAATAAAATGTTCCAAAGTGATGAAGACCAACAAGAAATACTATTGAGGCAAAACTCCCGATCCTCATATATGCCATTGAGATCAAGTTTTGATTCTTTTTCTTGTAATTACTATAGATGTTACTTATAGATACACAAAGGCATTCCGTTCCATCAGCTAATCTAACTGCGGATGATGAGGATAAAATTTCTAACTTCAGACCAAAAAGTGGGCGACCTGAAAAGCCTAAAATGGTTGCCAATCCGCCGTTCATGGATGTAAGTTCCTTGAATCAATTTCGGACCATTTCGTTATCGTTTAAGGTTGTTCCAAACCAAGGCTCCCGAGACAGAAGAAGTCGGAGTCGAAGTGCAACTCCATCGCGCCGTTCGCGATCCCGTTCAGTCTCTCGTGGTCCATCACAACGAAAATCGCCGGTTCATTTGAGTGCTAGTGATAGAAGACAATCTCGTTCGTTTGCTCGGCATTCTCTAAGGAACAAGTGAAAGTTTTTCGTATATATCGTGGAAGATGATTTATTAAATAATTTTTTGAACCTGTAACCAAGTTCAACTCTTTGAAGGTACACATTTCTTTTTTAGTTCCGAGGCGCTGGATGCTATCAGGAAGTTTAATATTTTTATAGTTTTTTTGTCATTATATCGGTTTTGATTAACTATTTATTGAGCCCAGTAACAGTTAAATGTTGTAGGTCGTTATTAATATTGTACAAGTTTGTTCTGCTCTGTATGACAAAATTTGAAATTAAACAAATGAAAAGTTTATTTATAATTATACAATGATTCAGTTCTCAGATTCCTTTCCTAGTTTTACTTGCAGCCCTTCTCTCCCCATTCGGAAATATCCTTTTCGAAATAGTGGAGATGGTCTTCAATGCTTGTAGTGATGTCGAGTCCGTCACTGCACTTGTTATCTTCGTCTCCTGTATGAATAATTTAGATGGGAAGCTGTTTACAGTTTACCTGTACAAACGGTGAAAGGAGCTCCTTCCTTCATGTGACTCTTGTAGAAAGCCTGAAATATGTGGGTAACTTTATCTATCTCCTTGCTCCCTAGACCTCGAACTTGTGATGTCTATAACCCTCGAGATGCTCAGGTGGTACGTGAGGAACGACATCTCTCCAATGAGTTACTCGATATGTGGCGACCATGTTCTATAAGAAAACTTGCAAATATTTGAATTTTTTGTATGTCACACTTGTCCATCATGAGCAGAAGACCAGTCTTTATCACCTGTACGAGGTTGACCGAATGTGTACAAATGCACTTTGCTTGCTGGAACCATACCAGAGGTAACAATGTAGCTGGCAGCCAAAGAAGCCATTGCTCCTCCCAAAGAGTGTCCGGTTACCTTCAACGTATAACTACCAAGCTATTACCGCAAGACTACTTACCCAAACTTGATAGGTAGGGTTAGCGTTCTTGAGAGATAAGAAGTCATCTTTCATTCCTTTCGTCCATACGTCCATGAAAGCATCATAGAAGTACTTGGATACTTTACCTCCAGCAGGCCATACAATCTGAATTTTCAATGTAACCCTCGAGCAGTTCAAATTACCTTATCCTTGAAAATGGCTTGGTTACTCTCTGTGATGAGTTGTAAGAAACGATCTGTTCCTCTGAATAGTATTGTTAGTTTCATTTCGCCTTCAATCAGGCTTACCTGAATGAAACAACGATGGCGTTGTTTTTGGGAAGTAATGCAGTGTATCCAGAACAACTATCTCTGGCTAAGTCGCATTTAACTGTTACTTGTCTTTTGAGCTGTAAAAGTCTGATGATTTTTGTATGATAAGACAACACTTTTTTTTTCCAGTAAGTGTCGTGATAAGAGTCACGGGTTCAGTTTTGTTTTATTTTTTATTTAACCTTTCTGCGATGGGGGTCATTACATGATTGAATCTTACCTGTCCTCCGAAGACTTTAGTCAAACACTCGTCTGGCTTCTTGGAGTATGCAGCAGCAGCTAAAGGAAGCATATCGCTTCTAGCAACGGCGTCTGCGTAAGCTTCATCCTCAAGAGGTGGAACTATGAAGCAGTATGTAACAGCAACAAAGCTGAGAAGAGATACTAATGTCCTCATCTGAAGTTAGAGTGGTGTCAGAAATATTTTTGAATCAAGAATGAAAAGAAATAAAAGGAAAATTGTAAATCAAGCGACATGTGCCGACGTTACCTGTCCACTGATGGTGAGCCTATTATCTGGCGCTATAAAAGTTATTACGCTTGATGTTTCGTTTTATTTTAACATAAAATGTGCTATCATTATGAAATGTGCCCGTAATGTATAACGATATCAGAGGAATGATGAACATGCTAGAAACGTCCTGTTAAGCGTCTCTGACGACATCCGTTTACATTGATAATCACATCTCTCTGATTTGTAGTCAATGAGAATCTCTAGGTAACACGAAATGAATACCTCCTTGAGAGTTGTGAAAATAATCCGAATTCGTATAATATGACACCACTGCGTCCTGATAAGAAGCTCTTCTCATGACTCCCCTATCTGAAGAATAGCTTTCCTGGGCTTTCCCCCAAATACATTGGTGTTGAAAAGACACGAAGTGAGTGATATCTTTTCTCTTCTATCCCATCTTTCTCAACAAGATTACTTCCGGGCGGTAGTCTTTTTCTACATGTTCGAACTTGCAACTCGCTTCTACTTGTTTGCAGTCTAATCTGCAGAGCTTGATATAATCTGGGAATTGAAGCTGTTTCTCGCTTTCCACGCATCTTGTCTTGGAAAAAAAGTTTTAGAATAGATACTTCAATCATCATAGATCTCTTTTCATCGATCCTTCACAGGCTCTCTTTTATGATATTGAATGTTAAAATTTAAAACTCTTGATTATTATGTGCGCATCTTTAGACCCATCAGTGTGAAGACGTTCTAAGCTCCCGATTTTCAGAAGTTTTGGTTTTTCTGTGCAGGCTGATCTGGCAACATTGTCTCGAGGGTTGCGAAGAATGTTAAATAGGTACCAGATGACTAGGATGTTTCCCTGTTAGACAAGGATGTTTAGTTCGGTCATAAAGTTTCATCGGATTGGATATCTTTCTTGAGAGAAAAAGAAGATAGCAAAGAATTAGCTAACAGGAAGAAAATGGATGAATAGGTCAAAGGTGGTCTGAACCCTCTCAAGTTTTTGGCAGAGTTTGATAAAGTGAAATTATCAGACTTCGGGATATTGTGATAAGGGAATTAATCTCTCAGACATTGCCTGATGATGCTATTCTAGTATCTGATAGTAGTGATTCAACCAAGTCAGCTGCTAACATTGTAAGACCACGAGGACCTCTTCAATGACTTGACCCTGGAGCTTGCGGAACACTTGGTGTCGGATGTGAATTTGCTCTCGGAGCCAAAGTTAGTACAAGTAGCTTGAGCAATAAATAAAGATAATTAAACAGGTTGTTCATCCTGACAGACCTGTTTATATCATTTGGGGAGATGGCTCATCTGGATACTCTCTCATGGAATTCGATACTTTCAATAGATTTAAGCTGCCTGTGACAGGCAAGATTTGCGGAGAACATCCGTCTTCTCATCACGAATCGTTCAGGTATCATCGGAAACGATGCCTGTTGGTCGCAAAT